TGTTTTTGGTGGGATAGGCTTTTAAAAAGCACTTTTACACGTCCCAATATTAAGCCTACCACTGCTTCAGGACAATAAATGGGCCAGTGCTGAGAAGAAGCAGCGCAAGAAACTCAGTCACTCATCTCATACCTGCAATCGACCATCCAGGGACCGCGGTATGGTGACGCACTTCGAGGGCGTCCCAGGACAAGACAGGGCCCGCTCTAGCTCCTCAATGGCTCCTTTCCGCTTCTTTAGTTTCTTAACCAAACTATCCACTGCCTTTTCAGCCCATTTTTCTTCTTCATCACCCTGGAATAATAAAAATTAATTTCATAGTATAAGTTGCATTTAATTTCTTTAGTCAGTATTTCTAGAAATGTAAGGTATAGAGGGGCATTAACAAAAATACCTATCTTATATGAATTACCTACATGAAATGTTATAAAAAAAGTTGTTATGAGTATTACATTTTTTATAACAAATAAGGAATAACTCAAGAAATTCACATAAACAACATTAAATGAATCATTCTTTATTCACAGAACCCATGACTGTTACTGATGAGTCATATATCAATAATAGACAAGCTATTTCTTTCTGAGCAGTCCCAAACATAACTGACACTTAAACTTTTTATCTAATAACATGGAATTCATACAGTTAAAAGTGTTCTGGGAATTCAAAATGTTCCAGACATAAATTTAATACACCACTAAATTTTTATCACCGAAAATTTTTTAACAGGTTATGTAGAAACGTGGGAAAAATTTAAAGCAAAAGAAAAAGAAATGTTTTTCATAAAGTTATTTTTTTTATTACATTTTCTTTAGTCCGTATTTTACGCGTCACAGCTGAGTCACTCCGCTGCTCGCTAGAGTAGTCGTACGCGTTCGCACGTTGCATCGATCTGTCTGTCTCGCTCACGCCTCGACAACGCTTCCAGTGTTATTAATTATTACACATTTAGCTAACTTAGACCATTTGGAATTCTAATAAGTGTTACATTATCGTACGTAAATAATGCTAGCGACACGTGTGTCAATAAATTACCAATTTTAGTAGGATATTTTGAGTCACTTTATTTTACTCTTTTTTTTGCACAAATGGGATCAGTATCAGTAACTCATTACCCAGAATTTTTTTTTTCGGTGATTAAAATTTAGTGGTGTATAAGTGTTTGTTTTTGTAGTTATTGACTGGATAAAAGCAATAGTGTTAACAAGATCTGCCATAGGATTGTGATGGCATTTAATTCTAAATTCTTGAGATATTAGAGTGATGGTATGAGGTTAAGATTATTCAAAGGATAGCCTGTGATATCTGGCAGTTCAGTGGGTCTAGACAAAGTGCGCATTATAATCGCAAACCAGTCGAAAAGTGGTTGAAAGGCCTTTTTTGTATGGAGTTTTGACGGATTAGATTTTTCAATTCAATTAATAAAAAAGTGCAACTTGTCTAGGGAGCTGATACCACAATTTTAATTGTTTGTAAGCAAGAAGGTAACAGAGTAGGTATAATCAAAGTTAAGAATCTGTTCTGGGATGAACTTACAATCAACTTTATTGATGTAAATGCAGTGTAACATTTTAATATTGAAATCCTAACCCCTAAACTAGTGTAAACTGTATTTCAGGAGCCAATAAATATAATACTTTTACAGTAACATCCATAAGATTGTGTAGTAAGAGGCATTTATTTATTTATTATCACTATAAAATTTATTTTGATGCCCATTATGATCTAAATGAGATCTATGAAGAGTTTATGTTGACACAATGTCAGACATCATGAGTTGCCAAAATTGTATGCAAGACTAGCTTTTGCCCGCGGCTTCACCCGCATGAAATTTAGTGTCAGAGATCGGCATAAATTATAACCTATATGTTAATCTAGGTTATAAACAATAATACTGTTCAGTTTCTACAAAATCTGTTCAGTAGTTTTTGCATAAAAGAGTAAGAAACATCCAGACATCCAAACTTTCGCATTTATGTATAATGTAGGAAAATGCTCATCAAAGAAAATGGACTGAAATTCAGTTCATCTACAGATTAATACAGTGTTAGGACACATAGGATTACACACAAACCCCCTTATTAATAAAAGTATATCAGTTATATCCAGTGCAGTGGTATAGTTTGTTATTACACAAAAAAAAAATTTCTTTACTGCTCTTCCACAAGTTATGTTACATTCATATTAAAATTACTAAGATTGAAATCTCAGGGTAATAGAGGTTTTTTGTATTTTCATTTTTAAATAGCTATTTAGAAAATAATCATCAAGTATGAATGTAGTCTGTATCTATGTATTTATTAAAGCTTATTTGTAGTTATAACTAAAGAATGGCATTCATTAACATTAAGAACTTAAAAAGTACTTTGCTAATAGTGGCAATTTGTTAATTAATTTGTGATTAATGAAGGAAAACTTTGTAAGTAATTGACCAAACATTTCCTCGAAATGCATGTAATTAACATATTGATATTGTTGGATTAATATGAATGTAATAAACCAAAATAATTTACTATAGTAGGGAATTTAGTGCAAGAACCCCTCCACTTTGGTATAGAAGGCTCATTTTTGCACCAGTTGTTCTTTGGGTGCTCCTGAGTAGATTTCCGTCGGTAGACATCGGGAGCCCCCCCTGTGGTAGCAGGGGGAGGGGGGGCAAGTTTCCTTCTGCCGCGCTTCACTTTAAGGCCCATATCTCCAAAACTATATTTATTAGGGTATTAGGGCAAGTGTGGTGTCATTTTCAAATAANTTATGGCTATGAGGTACCTAAGCTTTTAGATAAAGGTACTATCAGTTCTGACCCTTGTCTCGCTAGACTGTCGGCTCTCTCATTGCATTCGATCCGTGTATGTCCACTGTCCAGGTATCCCACATTAGGGGCACTTTGTCTTGCCTTCAGAGTTTTTTCATCTTTAAGATTGCATCTAGAATACCTAATTCTAGACTCAACCTTTACTGAAGCGATGGCTTTGTTTGAGTACTGCCTGGCTGTGGCTAAGGATGTAAATATTGCATTTCTTACACCCCTGTTTTTAGTACACACATAATTATAGCGTAGAATTCAGCTTGAAATACTGTGTTTATTACTACATGCTTGACTATGAACGAGTGCTGTAAGTGCCCACCAACCTAGGCAGTTCTGTATCAGTATATCAAGGGCAGTAATTATGTCCTTATGATTTTTTCTAATTATTTAAAATTTAGTTGGTTCTAGGGGTTCGCGTATAGGGTCAGTTGCAAGCAACCGATTCAGTCTACCCTTTACCCGACTGGTTGAGGGTGGACCAGAATCGATAGCAACATGGAGCCTACATGGACCAATTGCCCGTAGCTGCCGAAGCTTTCCTGGAAAGAAGTAGTGCAGAAGCTTGTGCTGTCTGAAAAAAAAACTATAATGGTCACAGCCGTAGCCTTTGTGTTAAAAATAATCTCCCGTACTATGATAATATCAATCCTTACTTTCCTCACACTTACCTTTCCGTTATCACTGGTACAATAGTATGTAGAAATAAAAATGTTAATTAAAATAATAATAATAATATTCATAAGACGTGTAGACAAATTCAAGTTATTTATTTAGTGCTTTCTTCTTATGATATTTTCATTAATACAATGTAATTAAACTATTTTCAACCTTATGTCTTACACATAGAGTTCAAAATTAATTGAAGAAAAAATACAAATCATGGTAGCATGATGTGCCAGGAACTCTAAATAAATTCTAAAATAATAATCTTTACTTGCTTATGAACCAAATAGTATGAATTCATGGATAAAATAAATATTTTTTTCCAACGCGCATTAAAATTCGCCCGCTGTGTCCTGAAGAAAAAATTTTTTTCACCTACTTTTTTCGAAAAAAGTACCATACAATGGTATATATTTATAATACTGATAAATGTAGCTTTCAGTACATTTTTTTTTTATTAGATTATCTCCAGTGGTTTAAAAGTAAACGACGATTATTTAAATAAATACTTTTTGGTTTTTGTGAATTTTACTCCATATTTCTATTTTTTTGTATGAAAAGGCAAAAAGTTTGTTGTAGAAATGAATTCGCCATCCTTTAATTATCCGAAAATGACACCACACTTGCCTTAATACCCATAGTTTTGGAGATATGGGCTTTAAAGTGAAGCGCGGCAGAAGGAAACTTGCCCCCCCTCCCCCTGCTACCACAGGGGGGGCTCCCGATGTCTACCGACGGAAATCTACTCAGGAGCACCCAAAGAACAACTGGTGCAAAAATGAGCCTTCTATATCAAAGTGGAGGGGTCTCCATACAAATCATTGCACTAAATTCCCTACTACTAGGAGACAACACATGCAAATAACTTTGACTGTGATAGTAGATAGTGAAATACCTGTTTCCAGCCCAAGAGTTTCTTCACAGCCGGGCTTGTAAATGAGAAAAGGCTGTTCAAGCTGGACATAGGGCCGCTGCTGGAGGACTCTCCATCATCGGTGTCCATGGTTACAAATGTTTTCTCCACTCAGTGAATCACCGAACCGCGGGAACGCGAACCCCGCCAATAATTACACCACGGAAACGCTCAATCGCCCATCGATTAAAAGTAGCACTTGGTATTCCCCACACCGTCCACGATCCAATTACGACTGCAAAATAGCGACTGGCGTGACACAACAAGCGTCCATCCGTTCAACGTACGGCAACAGTAGTGGTATTTTTAATTAACACTGCTGCTTAGTAAAGTTCCACAGTTTTAAATTAATTAGCAACTAATATCACTAAATTAAGCATTGCTTTACGCACAAAAACTGTTGAAAATGAAATAAAACACTTGTCAAACGACAGCAGACAGGAGACATTTTTGATTTTTTTATGCGTCACAGTCACATTACAGATAATATACAGCAATTACTAAGTACCGTTATTTTAAAACGTTAATGTTATTTTTGAAAACTTTCGAAAGCTTTTCTAATAGCTTATTAAAATGATAAATGTATTTCATAGATCAATAATCCAATAATCTTTATTGCCATGATTTGAATATAGTGCAGTATAAACATCGATGTTGAGTAAAATCTGTTTGCAATGGTTTTTTTGTAGGTGTTTTATGAAATGACGAAAATCAACCTTAAAATGTATACTCCGTTTTATGCATGACACATTCTAATCTTCATTTGTCTGTTCAAAAATGTTCTACGATTTTGTAAGCAAAGGAACGTTGCTATAGTATCACGGTTTGGTTTTGGCGAGAATTTTCTCGAATTTGAAGTGTCATTTCGCGAATTTCTGCGGCTTGTGTTCGATGAGCAAAGAAAGTGAACTTCAGTGAACTTGACTGTCTATTGCAAAGTGAATTCCTTTTGTGAGTCCTCTGTAATCTAAGCTGCTATTAATTCAATTACTTTGTGTAAATCATGGATCAGGTAAGAGGTTATACGGTCGTGAATCGCAATGAATTTTGGTGTGAATTATGTTATTTAGAATTGGGATACGTTTTTAGGTCAATCTATTGAAGGAGAAGGGCAATGCGGCGCTCTCAGCGGGCAAGTACATGGAGGCGATCCAGACCTACACTGAGGCCATCGCTCTGGACCCGAAAAACCACGTTTTGTACAGTAATCGCTCGGCTGCCTATGCGAAGGCTGAGAACTACGCTGCGGCGCTCGAGGACGCAGACAAAACAATTTCGATCAACCCGAATTGGAGCAAAGGTTATTCTAGAAAAGGCAGTGCCCTAGCTTACTTAGGAAGATATGAAGAGGCTATTGCAGCATACGAGAAAGGTCTGGAGCTGGATCCCAACAACCAGCAGTTAGCCTCTGGCCTGGCTGAAGTGAGGCAGCAAGCTAATGAATTTGGAATCAACAAGGAAGAGCTGTTTGCCAAGTTACATGCAGACCCACAGACCAGAGAATGGCTCAAAGATCCTGAATATATCAAAATTGTAGAGGTAAGTTTTAGTTTTTTTTATTTGCATTGTACAGGGTTAATTCATGCAAAGTTATTCAATTTGAAACTTATTCACCGGCAACCTTTGATTTCCTTGAGCCAAAAGTTAATTAAATTGAAAACATACTAGAACTGAATTCAAGACAGTTTCAACTACTAAAAATATGTGAATTTGAATAAAATATTATTATAATTAGTTTACATAACATTTTTAATTCTCACTGCAGCACAAAGTTGTTAATGCTGTTATGATTGTATTTTACAGAAAGTTGCTCAAAACCCATTTGGTATACAAAAAATAGATCCCCAAATGAAGGACAAACGTGTCCTCAAAACCATCAGTGTGATGTTAGGCATTAACTTTGACTATTCCGATGTGAATATGGATGTCGATCCTCCGGCGCCCGAGAGGAAACCCACACAACCAAAGAAGGAAGAGCCTCCTAAACCCAAACAAGAAGATTTACCAGAGAACCGTAGACTAGCTTTAACAGAAAAGGACCAAGGCAACGAGTGTTACAAAAAGAAGGATTTCGAAAACGCCCTCAAACATTATCAGAAGGCAATCGAACATGATCCCACAGATATAACGTTCTACACAAATATGGCTGCCGTGTACTTTGAACAGAAAGAGTACGAGAAATGCATCAAGGAATGTGAGAAAGCTATTGATATTGGCAGAGAAAATAGAGCTGACTTCAAATTAATAGCTAAAGCTTTTACTAGGATTGGTAAGTATTAGTATTATTAAACTAAACATCAGTTCCATCCAATGTTGTATGTTATGAAGCTGTAATACAAATACAAACATTGCATTTTGCTTTTGAGGTCAAGAAATGTTTGAATAATACTATTATGTACTTTTCCCAACACATTTATTCAAAGTTCTTTGAAAATTCAGGTAATGCATACAAAAAGATGGAACAGTGGAAATTGGCAAAGACATACTTTGAAAAGTCAATGTCTGAGCACCGCACACCAGAAATCAAAACTATTCTCAGTGAAGTTGAGAAGAAAATAGCTGAAGAACAGAAGAAAGCATACGTAGATCCTGTCAAAGCTGAGCAGGAGAAGGAACTAGGAAATGAATACTTTAAAAAGGGTATGTGTAGATTCTATTGTTTTGCAACTGGTGCGAAGGTATCACTGAATATTTGGTTTATTCCTCTTTTTTGACTGTTTGTGCGTCTCCTACTTGTCATTGATCTCTAACCTTTAGTTATTTCTTTTAATGAGCTAAACTGCATATAAGTTCTTGTTTACACATGTTAATTTTTCACACTAGCTAAATCGCTTGTGTCTGCTAAATATCTTATTAAGAGCATCTTATACTGAATGAAACAATGCCACCTTACAGTCAGAACTGAGAAAATACACTTGTTCTATTCTGACTAGAAAGATTTGAAGCTCACCAAAGTTTTTAGGTGTTTTTATTCTGAGACTGCTATAATGAGGGCTATCGTTTTTATACTTAACAGTTGGCACCCCTGGCAATTGACAGGACATTACTCTACAGTGGCGCCATCTGGATGAGTGCAAATGCGATAGTCTTCCTACCACTTTAGCGCTCACCAGTTGGTGCCACTGTCTTCGCAACTAGCAAGTGACAGGACCTTACTCTACAGTGGCGCTAACTGGTGAGCGCTAAAACGATAGCCCTCATTGAGTTTTGTCTGGCACAATTATCTATTATGCTGTTTTCTCGAACAACAAACTGTTTCCCATTACAGGAGACTACAGCAACGCAGTGAAACACTACACAGAAGCTATCATGCGTAACCCGGACGATCCCAAGCTGTATTCCAACCGGGCTGCGTGCTACACCAAACTCGCTGCCTTTGACCTCGGCCTGAAGGACTGCGACCAGTGCTGCAAGCTTGACCCTAAGTTCATCAAGGGATGGATAAGGAAGGGGAAAATTTTACAGGTAGGGATTCAAAAACTTTTTTTTTCATAGTACTTCATTGGTCTCTGTGTAAGCTTAGGCGCAGATCGTCGACTTTTAGTTGATTAGATTCTAATTTGTATGTAGAATCGGCCGATACCAAATCGGTGCAATGTGTGCACTTTCATACATCTCCATAATTACTGATCAACAGCCCTACCCAACTATCGGCCAACTAAAAATCGGTGGTCTGCGCCTAGGCTAATAAGATGGGTTAATCCACTTGCATATCTCCATTGCTCTACTCGCCCTATCAATTTAGGAAACTTTTCCACAAATTGCTATTGGGAAATGTAGAAACTCTAGTATCGCACGATAAAAACGCGTCATCTCGACCGGGCTAGGATGTGCGCCATGATATACTCTTAGGGCCCGTTTATATGGGATGCTGAGAAGCCGCGCGGCGGCCGGGCGATAGCTTTATTTGGTACGCCAAAAGGCCACCACGCTATAGAAAATTTGGGCAAGAGCTAGGTAGGAGGCGACCGCGCGGCCGCCGCACGGTGTGGTTCTCCAAAAGAATTTTAATCTTTTGACTTAGGTAACATAGTTTAAATTTTCTATGAACGAAAACTAGTAACTAGTCTAACATGCGGCCGTGTGAAAGTTTTTGCGTCGTCTAACTGCAGCCTTATCGTCGTAAAAATGTATGGGAAAAATCGATAAAATGGCGTGATAACCGCTTATCGCTGCGCGCATCCTAGGCCTACAGGTATCGTTGCGCGCATCCTAGGCCTATACAGGGTGTTAGGTGAATGGGTATATGAGCCGACACTAGCCCATGTTAACATGGGCATATAAATGGTATGGTGAAGTCAGAAAATTGATATCTTCATTTTAATTATTTTTATTTTCCTACAAATCGGATTTTATAAAATTGATTTTGTATGAAAATTTAAAAAAATTCAAGTGATGATATCAAATGTCTGACTTCACCATACCATTTANAAATGGTATGGTGAAGTCAGAAAATTGATATCTTCATTTTAATTATTTTTATTTTCCTACAAATCGGATTTTATAAAATTGATTTTGTATGAAAATTTAAAAAAATTCAAGTGATGATATCAAATGTCTGACTTCACCATACCATTTATATGCCCATGTTAACATGGACTAGTGTCGGCTCATATACCCATTTACCTAACACCTGTATATAGGTCTAAGGCGGGTTTTAGAATCGCGCTGACCGCTCGCTGATCGTCGGCGCTGACAGATCAATATGTATGTAATTGAAGGGAACGTTCCTAAGTGACGCTGATCGCTCGGCGCCGACGCTTCATACATTTCGGCTGTCAGCGCTGACAGTCAGCGTGCGTCAGTTTGACTCTAAAACCAGTCTAATAGCTGTGATGGTTACAGGGCATGCAGCAGCACTCGAAGGCTCTGACGGCCTACCAGAAGGCTCTGGAACTAGACCCCAGCAACGGCGAGGCTCTAGAGGGATACCGCGCCTGCTCCACGCAGCTCAACTCCAACCCTGAGGAGGTAAGCTTTTTATAAGGGACACCTACCTGGTATAGGATACCATGATCGGGGATTTCCAGCCCTGAGGAGGTAGGCACTGCTTCTATTATAGGGCAGCAAGATTACCTGGCATAGGACCATAATTACCTTGCTAAAAGGCGGTTCCCTCAAAATGAAAGATTTGTGGAATATCCAGAATGTGGACAGCTTGGATGCGTTATTTTTAGAAATGGGAACTTTTGGTGCCCCTACTCTAAAAAAAGCACACATCCTTGTAAACATGCGACATTGTTTGCAGAGGTTCTGTACAGACGACGCGACGGCACACACTGTGGTGTCTAATGTGGTTGTAAAAGATGCTATTTTGGAACAAAAATGTATAGTCGGTTGTGCTGTCGACTGTACAATAAATTAGGCTTTGGATAAAACGTCTGCCCTTTTTTATTTAGAGAAAATGTCCTTTGGGGGTTTTTATCTCCTTTTAACCAAACACCAGTAACAGGAGAAAACGCTCATGTATTCGATACATTCCGCAGGTCCGCAAGCGAGCCATGGCCGACCCTGAGGTGCAGCAGATTCTCCGCGACCCCGCCATGCGCTGCATCCTGGAACAGATGCAGCAGGACCCGCACGCACTGCAGGACCACCTCAAAAACCCTACCATCGCAGCCAAGATTCAGAAGCTTCTGGAGTCCGGCCTCATCGCCATACATTAGTTATGGACGTTTCCCCAACCGAGTGGGAGCGTAGCCTTAAACCACTAATGATTGTTCCACTTCTCCCCGTTGATTGCACGTTAGGTTTCGTAACGGGGATTCGTAGAACTTGCGTTGCGTAAATCCCCTTTAATTTAAATTAATACAAAAACAGGTTAAGATTCTTTTTTGCAGCACAAAGTACGTATTTGTCTGCAATCAGACTTGATGTTAGTTATCAATTTTCTCACTAAAAGTTCACAAATGCAGACAAGAAAAATCAATGCATTGCAGATTTGTGCAACAAAAAGTCCCCATTAGGAATCTAAAGGTCAGTCAATGGAGAAAAGAGAATAGCCCGTCTAATGCAAGCTTTATTGACTTATGCGCGATTCAATACCATATGAACCTGGAGTTCTAAACAGCATCGTTAAACCAAGATACAGGTGTCCCCATCACGAATAACGTCTTGAATAATGTTAAATTAGGTTCAATAAGCAATCTTACAGCTTGATGAGATCTGTCAATATAACTACACTTTACCACGTCATCAATAATATTCTAAGCATGTTTCCATAAATAATATGTATCAACTGTTACGCGATTTTGAACTCTACGAATCGGCGCTGAAAAAGTTCCTCACGTTTGGCTACACAATATCACCGATGCTTGAGCGTTTTGTACTTCATATCATAAGAACAGCGACCAAGCCTGACAATATGTGCTTTAATGTAAAAACCTCAAATATGTATCTCAAAAGCGTCACATTAGGTTTTGTACCGAATCACGCCTACTGTAATACATTTTTATAATATTAGGAATACTATAATATGTATAGCGCCGTGTCCACACTTGCGCATGCATTTGAAGTATTGTTAAATGAAACATTAAGATCCGCTTCAATACTCCTTTAGTTTGACTTGCCTAAGCTCTATGCTCAAGTTCTGCTGATAAGCTCATGTTTTTCGTTGTCGCTTTTTATGTAGATAAGCCGGCGAATAAACATTATGCACATGTGTGGACATAGCTTTAGTGTTCTACAGCTTCTTTCGATTTTATTTCGGGTTTGCTTATTCAATTTTACTAAGCTTTTGAACCATTCCAAAATGCTCCATTTTACTAGCCTTAATGGGTATCATCCGTCACAGAGTTGCGATTTACTCGAATTTCGTTGTATCGTTTAATCACTATGTAAGTAACATTTATTATGTACTTAAGTCGTAATTCGTGATTATTTGAATTGTGTTCAGTCATGCCCTTGATCAAGGGCCCGAATTTAATATATTCTTTAACCATAAGCGAGTACCAATGCTTACATTCTCTCATTAATTATATACCGTAACTCTGCAAGTCAGATTACCAACGTTTTGTTTCCTAAATAGAAGAGAAGAGAATATCAGCTGAAAGTCTTTGAATTATGTAGTAAACCTTTTTGTAGAGCTTATTTTCTCTCTTGTTGTGTCGCTTGTCGCATCTGTGTGGCGGTCGCCCTTACCCAAGTAAAGTTGACCAAATATCTATGTACTTTCGGTTGAAAGTTTTTTTAGTATAATAATTTGAAGAATATGCAGATGTACTGCCATGGAATTTTACATTACGATTTTTGTAATTTATTCAATAAAGAAATACATGTAGGCAGTTATGTTTTTTATTACAACGAAACCCTAAATACACACCATACAGTTCTTTACAAAATAAACATACACATGGACTGCATTCATTGCGAGATTTGCGAGCATTTCAGAAAAGTGCACTTACAGTTCGCGCAGCGAAAGTTGAGGCAAACACATGCATGACACGCTGGATGTGTGTGTAATAATAACAATACAAAATAATGCACTTAGATGAAATCGAATCCATCAAAACCATACAACAAAAAAGGGCTTTTCGTACACATATCGATAGGTTTGCGATTTTAATTTGCACTTTGTCTAGAGTTGTATACTGTTCTAGACCCACTGGTGTTGATCGCCTCAACTCTCGCTGCACGATCTACAACACATCAGTATGAGCACTTTTCTGTTTTGTGGTTCTGGTGGTAACATGTTTGCCTCAACAATCACCTTCAGTCTGCGACTCTGCGTGAACTTTATACAGGGTGTCCCAAAAACAATGGATAACCCTGTAACCATCGATAGGCCTCGCCATGGTCTCCCTAACGTCCAATTTTGACCCTAGTAAAAATATCACCATTTTCAAGATTTTTAAGTTTTTGTGCATTTTTAGAAAATTGCCACCTGCGATTACTTTTTCTCATGCCATTTCTACAAATGAGGATACTTTTCAATCTAGTTTTTTTCCTTATCACAAAGGATAGTTGGACTAACAAAAGAAAAGATTAAAGTTCAACAAACTAGTTTAAAAGTATGAAAATTTTAAGACATTGCAGAGAAGAAGGAAAAATTAATTCATTGTCTTGCACTTTTGATCAGCCATCGTGTAAAAAAAATGTAGGAAGACCATCGTGCCCATTACCTTAAAAACTTCCTTGTTTAATTGAGATTCTAAAAAGTTATCACAAGCCTATGTATTCTGTATTATTTTTATCTTATGGCTACTTGAATAGCAACTAGTATATTCAAGTAGCCATAAGATAAAAATAATACAGAATACATAGGCTTGTGATACCTTTTTAGAATCTCAATTAAACAAGGAAGTTTTTAAGGTAATGGGCACGATGGTCTTCCTACATTTTTTTTACACGATGGCTGATCTAAAGTGCAAGACAATGAATTAATTTTTCCTTCTCTTCTGCAATTTCTTAAAATTTTCAGACTTTCAAACTAGTTTGTTGAACTTTGATCTTTTCTTTTGATAGCCCAACTATCCCTTGTGATAAGGAAAAAAACTAGATTAAAAAGTATCCTCATTTGTAGAAATGGCATGAGAAAAAGTAATCGCAGGTGGCAATTTTCTAAAAATGCACAATAACTTAAAAATCTTGAAAACGGTGATATTTTTACTGGGGTCAAAAATGGACGTTAGGGAGATCATGGCGAGGCCTATCGATGGTTACAGGGTTATCCATTGTTTTTGGGACACCCTGTATACTTAGCTCCCATTCCCAATAAATAATCGATCAAATGCAATCTCCTTTTTTAACTTTTTAACTGTGTGGAATGGATTCGGTCCTCGGACCGTACACCCGCTGTCACTTTGACAGCGAATCGACGTCACAATGACACTTGTCATTGTCACTTGATTTTTATTTTCGTTTTCCGTAAAAGTTTTGTTGTGGGTGGACGTAGTTTTTGTAATTATTTATTTCTGTACAGTTTTATTTATAATTATGAATATTATGTTATCTATTTGTGCGGTAGTGTTATAATTTATATTGAGATGTTTAATATGTTAGGGGCGTCTTTATTGGCAGTTTGTAAAACTTATTTTTCGACAAACAAGTGGTTTACAAGATTTTAGGAGTTTGTGGCGGTGCCTTTTTGTATAGAATTATTAAGGGTAAATAACAGGTAAGAAAGTATTTTACCTTCATAATAATGTTAGCTACCTAGTATTATGTTTTATAGTTCCTTTAAAATTGGGTGCTAGGCCTATGTAGTTAACAGAATGATTACTTAACGTAATGTGTTGGGTAAATTGATGTCATTATTTACATATGTTGTAATCGGTGATTACTCTGTTCACATAAACATTTTGTAAATATGAGGGTTAGAAAACTTTACTTTCTTTATTTTTTAGTATGTGAAAGACAGTGCAAAAGCAATAAGTAGGTACACTCTAAAATTGAACTTTGTAATAAGTCCCTCTGATAAAAGTAAATAAGTCATTGTTAAATTAGAAGTCTTGAGCCTGATGGATTTAAATAGTCTGTCTACATAACAATTGTAAATAAATCAAGTAGTTCATTATGTTCATACAAACATCATTTTAAAAATTGCATGTAATTGAATGTCTACCTAAAGTCCTGTCACAGAAAATATACTAAGTTCAAACACTAACTGGATTGAGGATTATAATTTTTATTCTCTAATAATTAAAAATACCAATTCAATATAAAATTAAGCATTCACTATGACCATTCCAGGTCGATGAGCACTAATTTACAGAAAACTTGCCCTAAAAATACATACCCTAATGCCATGGCCAAGTGGCATCCTTAACCAGTCGTAATATTAGAGAAATTTTATTCTGCATTTCTGAAAAAAAAAAATTAATTCCTTTAAAATATCACCTAAGCCATCTGCTAAAATGATAATGCGATTGCATTTTGATGTGATAATCATTCAACCTTGATTCTTTTAATTACCTACTTAAATTAATTATCTGCAAGAATTAAAAATTTCTAGGTATTTTTTTTTAGTGTTTTAATAATTTCATGAATGATTGGCTTAAACACAGCAGTGGGATGGAATTGTGCCTAAAGAGGATGGATGAATCATATCAGGTGTTTACGTCTCCTTAGATAATAATTCTGACCTCTACTTAACCATGTGAGCCAGTGTAAAGATGAGACATCACAAAAACATATTATTTGCTTGTCAATACTCTTAAACAATGGAAAATACGCAATAAGTATGAAGATAATGTATTCTGTCTCACAATAGGCACATCATTTTGTTTAGCAACGTCAATATGAAATATCCATTAAGCAGGAGGTGAATTGCAAATTCTTCTCAAAAGTTCAAAATACCTAGTCCCTGTTGCACATCATAAATCGCACGTTCATAATCAAACTGTCACTATACAAAAAAGTCGATTTTTCAGGAAAAGCATTTGAAATGCTCAAATTTTAAAACCTTTGCAAAATGAGCAAAATGCTATTAAATGTTTTGTTTTTTGTTAAATACCAGTAGTGGCTTGTTTGGCTTTTACGGAAATATAATTATCTTTCAAATTATCATAATGGTTTATTTAATATTTAATTTTTTCCCTAAAAATAGTGTCACTTTTCCACTAAAATTGAGACAGTGACAGTTTTCAATTAAAAACATGTTGATGTTGTATTATTAATTCAGGTAGAAATGTCACTATTTTCATATAAATTTGACGATGAAAATTTCAAAATGATTATTATTAAATAAAACTAACATAGAAAAATCAGTAATTTTAATGAACTTAAAACTTAATAATTTGGATTAAGTGGTACCAATGGTAACAGTAATAAATGTAAATTCTCGATCAGAAATAAATACGTTACACACATGAAATTACTATAAAATTACATCACATAAATCAACTTCTAAGAAAATAAGGTACTCTCTTGTTCAGGCAGCCTTTAAATAACAAGAACTTGATGACCTCGATGAACTTGACGAACTAGATAGTGATTTTTGATTTTTCATGGGAAAAAGGCTCAGAGAAGTAGGTTTAAATTCTGGATCATTATCCAGCAGCCATTACCTCTGCGAGCTATGTGCCCCGCCCACTGCCACTTGATTTTAGCGATTCTGCGGGCTATGTCGGTCACTTTGGTTCTCCTGTGGATCTCCTCATTTCTGATTCAATCATGTAGGGAAACTAACTGAGCATCGCACGCTCCATCACCTTTTGGGTGACCTCTCAGATTCATAAAATATCACTGGCAACACACATGATCAAACTTTTGTCTTGAGGCACTGCGGTATTTCGGACGTGAGAATATCACGAAGCTTCCCGAACGCTGCCCAGCCGAGTTGGATTGACGAATGACCTCTTTCTCGAAGTTGGACCTACGTAACTGGACTGTTTGTCCCAGGTCAACAAACTTTCGAGTGTAGAGTCTCCAGACAAGTGGATACTACATGGACATTTGACATGTTTTTTGTCTTGTCCATATTCATTTTCATACTCATTTATCAGGCCCACTTGTTGAGAGGCTCTACTTAGGCCATCGAGCATTATGCCTAGATCTTCCACAGTCTCAGCCATGATTACGACATCGTCCGCAAATCGAAGGTGGATTATGTACTCGTTGATATTTATGCTGAATCCGCTCCAGTTCAGAAGCTTGAAAACATCTTCCAGGGCGGTGTTGAACAGTATCGGAGATATGACATCTCCCTGTCTCACCCCTTGCTGCAACTGGATGAGTTTCGAGTCCTGATCCTGGAGACGAACCGACATTGTGGCGTTTTCGTACAAGCCTGTCAACACTTCGATGTATCTATAGTCAATTTGGCACCGTTGGAGAGACTGTAGCACTGCTCAGATCTCGATCGAATCCAAGGCTTTTTCATAGTCCACAAACGCTAGACAAAGTAATAATTACCTTGATAATTTCTTTGATTTTACTAGTGTTTGGATTGCCTGGTGGCATTTTTGTTAGATAAAATTATAACTACTTAATCATTTAAAAATCTTTCTTGTTGTTTTAATATTTCACTATTTGGATAAACACAATATTCTACGAAGTGATGAACAATCTTTTTAAAAATGTAAGAGAAATATTGTCACTTTTTGTTTTAAGGCGTTTTTCGTATTACTTTATTGTGACTTATCTTATGGTTTTGGAGTAAAAGCGTCTTTATGCTAAAAATGACGTTTTTCAACACAGAGTTTACATAACTATCACGGCGTGCCCGTCCAGATCCCGTCACTACTAAAAACGTGTCACTGTTACTCACAACAAATGCCGGTTTTCCCATTAAACTCCATAACGACACTAGTGATATCTGCCGAACTATTTGAGCTTTAAGCGTGGGATTTTTACAGCATGCACTTTTCGCGGAGCGCTGATTGATGGCGTTGTTAACTCAATTTCTCCGAATTTCGTATAGTGACGGTTTGATTATGAACGTGCGAAATGTTTCCAATGTTAATGTCCTGCTTCCCATAGAAGTCTGCATTATAATCTTAAAATGCCATGAGTTGACCTTTGATTCCAATAATTATTATAACATTATTTAATGTTTATTACTCACTAAATTATTATAAGAATGACTAATGATAATTCAGCTAAGTTTGCAGACATATTGACCAAACAGATTCTAAAACTTCTAAAAGCACTTTAGGTTAATTTGCTTTATAAATTGGATTGCCATCAATATATGGGCTTTGTAATGTTCAGGGTTTTTGGAAGATTTTTGGTATTAAATCACTTGATTTCTTCCAGGTAAACAATCAACATGGTGTCTCCTAAAGTGAAGAGTGGCCTCTTCATGGGCTTCGGCGCCACCATGGTGGTTATCGGAGCCGTCATGGTTGTGTACTGGCCCCCAATATTTATGTCACAGCTGCAAAGGGTAAGAATTTAATAAACCTTAATGATACAGTCACCTAATGTCCCCTATTTGAAAGGAAATGAATCATGTCTTGATTTGCTTCTCTATTTGGAACAAATGCAAACAAGTATGTGAATAACCAGTATTTTTTAATAACACTTTCTGTAAGAAGGGAGAACAGGATATAAACATTAAAGATTTAAGGACTAAGCATACTAGCATCATGCTATGCAATGTGTAAATTGGAATGACATAAAAGCTCAAACACCCCCATTGATGTAATTGAGGGTATGTTGCTAACGCTTAGCGCTCATTGCGATGTGCGCAAGTATGATATTTGCGTAAAAAATATCTATGAATGTTCTAATTGATTCTACTCTCGATTTTTAATAAGCCAACGTCTTGCGTTTGTCTTCGCACGCGTAAATTCGCTTTGTCACAGAAAGTCATTATCACGCGAGTCTTCCTTTCCAAAACACTTATCGAAATTCGTGAGAAATTATTTATTGATCGTAGATTAAAACCTCTTCACATCTCTATACCTCGATTCAGCTGAAAGACGTCCACTGCTGGACAAAGGCCTCCCCCAAGTCAAGTTTTATTTTCGCGACAAAGGTAGAGAGTCCATGCTCTTCTCCAAGGATCAATCCAAAATTAATCAAGATTGCCTCAGTGGTTTAGTTTAAAAGTTACCTACTTTCGCATTTATGATAACAAGTATGGATGAAGGGTAGTTGGTACCTTTCTTTCAGTCAGTCTAGCTTCTTTAGACTAGTGACAAAACGTGACACTTGTAATTTCATAATGGCATCAGGGAGCGAAGTAACTACATACAAAAAAAATGGTTGTGACATACGGACGGACAGACGGACAGACAGACATGACGAATCTATAAGGGTTCCGTTTTTTGCCATTTGGCTACGGAACCCTAAAAATGCTGGAGCGAAGGATTTCGGAATAATAACTTACTGTCACGTTTAGCCACTTTTCTAGAGAGTTTTCTCCTCTGACCAGAATACCTCTTGCAGATGATGATCCTCTCAGAAGACTCGATGTCGTTCAGCATCTGGCGCGAGACGCCGATCCCGATGTTCCTGGAGTGTTTCCTCTTTAACATAACTAACGTGGATGACATACTGGCCGGGAAGAACGTGACTTTACAAGTCGCAGAGATGGGCCCGTATGTGTTTCGAGAGACGCATTTAAAGGTAAGATAACTTTATCCACTTTACGGACAATAAACCAACGGTGTCAGTCAGTGTCGGACTTCCGATTCGAGGGACGGTAGTTCCAACTCCGCTGAACAATGTGAACCCTATACTAACACAAGGAGAGTTTAACGAATTCTTAGAAAAGACAGATTTTTTACCAAAAATAGTTGCGTTTATTAGAAAGCACGAATTTTTCCAAGTTTCATTCTCAGCTAGTGGGCAATTAACGGTAAATCTATGCATACACACAAACAATAACTGTGCTATAACTATACCGGTTTTGGTGCTCCAGCCATATATGCCGATCCAAGCCCCAGATACTGCTAGTTCCTATGCTATGACAGATTCGTCTTCAATAAGTAAGCAGATGGGTTGCAAAAATTGTTATCTCTGAATACGTAGCATACGTACTTGACCCATAAAATCCAGGCTTTGACAAACATTACTGTATTTATGTACTTGATGCCGATCAAGTCAAGCTATACACTGTGGCCCGTATGTAGTCGTAATAAAGACTATTCTGCTACAAAAATGTCTGATGTGCGGTTGACTGTACTTATTAAGGAGGTCGCAACTTTAATGTAAACTGGCGATAAAATGACGCGATGTCTATGAATCATAACGGAAGAGCAAGTATTTGATTCATTTCAAATAATAATTTATAATAATTAGGTTGAACTATCATTGTAGGGTTAATATCATTAATAACTCATCTCTTTCTTCTTATTTCTACTTCTTTGTTCTTGAACCCTTATCTCTATGCGATGATATAGCTTTGTCGGAAATAGACTGATACAAAACTTATCTCTTTCGACTCGATGATAGCAGTCCAATAACACTCATTTTAGAGTAAAAATTTAATTGTTTTAAACTTTCATGACCACTAACATAATAATTATTATTGATGGCATTGCTACCATGTTACATGTAGGTACCTTAAGGCGATTAGAGTCCTCAATGACCTTGGGCGTTTGACCTTCACGCGGCGAGCAACACCCGCGTACCCCGCACCAAAAACTCCGATTTGACACCGATCAAAAATACACGGGCATAGGTAGATACAGAATAGAAGCTCTTTCTTCATACATTACTGCCTATTATTTTAAACTTAAATTGATGAACCTTGATGTCGGTGTCATTTAACTCAGGCGTAAAGGTATTTAATAAAAATAACAAAATCCATGAACATTTTGTACGGGATAAAATTTTATTTTATTTTTCGTAAATTTTCTAATGCTTTTGTCGGTTCAGTCGTTCTCGAAATTTGAACAAACCCGACTTTATTACAAGCTTTTATTTAGCTTGCAATTTATGATGTATGTAGGTAATTACATAAATGTTTGTTCGGGTGGAATCTTGCAAGCTGAATTAGTTGCAAGCTGAATTAGTTAGACCAACTTCCTGACGACAACTAGGCTAGATGACAAAATTTCAATTATTTGTCCGCCAGACAGATAATTAGAAAATATTAGACTCATATTTTTTATTTTCTTTCATAATTAAATAATAACAGTGCTACATCGAGTTGAAATGGCGCGATACGCCACGCTTGAGTAGAATTTTTACTCAAATGTGACGTCACGCGACATTTCAACTCAATATAATACTGTAATTATTCGATTATGGAAAAAAATAAAAAATATGAGTCTAATATTTTCTAATTATCTGTCTGACGGACTAAATAGAATTTCGATTTCATTACCCAGTCATCATCCCTATTGGAACGCATTAGTACCTACCTAGTATTGTCTATGGCCTAAAAAAGCAAATGTTTCTGCTTTTGTCTATCACTTATGAAGAATAAACTGAAAATGTATTTGTCTTTTTATTAGAAATCCTTCATCAATTGATTGAGTTCAAATTTCGGATATACATGTAATTCGGGTGACAATGCAATATTGTGATGACATGGAGCTGATCTGATGGTAGAGCTGGAATGCCAGTGGCCCCATAGCAACTCCGGGAATAAACGATTCCATCGAGTTTAGGCTCGTTTGATTTGTATTTATTTATTATTATACCTAAATAATTTCATTACAATTTTCTAAAAATGCACAAAAACTTAAAAATCTTGAAAACGGTGATATTTTTACTGGGGTCAAAATTGGACGTTAGGGAGACCATGGCGAGGCCTATCGATGGTTGAAGGGTTATCCATTGTTTTTGGGACACCCTGTATAAGCAAGTACCTAATGTTATGTAAGTAGGTACGCTACTTTGAAAATCATGAGTCTTCAATTCTCTAAGGGAAACTGCAGGGTCTGATGATGGAGCTGGAATGTGGCCATAGGAATAGGCTAGTTTCTTTAAAAAAGACTTTTGGTCCGTCAATTTTACATTATCAAAAAATATTGGACACAGGATATTTTTATTTTTCAATTAAACAAGTAATTACGAAGATAATGATGCGATGAAATTCCGCGTGACGACACAAATCGCCACATTTTTAAGCATGCCTTGACGTCATGTGCCTCATCTTCTGAACTTTGGTGCGCTTCATCTCTTTAAATTTTCATAAGTTTAAAAAAGTGAAAAATACATTTAGAGTTTTTTTTTGGTAAGTTCACCGACGGTCTTATTCAAACTCTTGCTACTTTCTTGCTTTATCCACGAAACATCCCTATTCTTCGAAATTATTACGATCTACAAACGGAAAATCTCTGCTACTACGCCGCAGTAAATTCCCCATCATAAATAAAAAGATTTTTTTTAAAACAAGCTCTTGTATGCTAATAATTTTGGTTTCATGACATGCTCCTAAAATTCATCACCTTATAAGAGGATTTCAGTTTTTATCTGCGAAACTTTTTAATAATATAGGTACGTTTCATGGTTTGGTAATTTAGGGAAGTTTATTTGCACTTAACATGAAAAATATGGTATCAATGTACTGAGTACCTATGCACCTTCAGTGGCAACAACAAGGTCTACTGGGTACCTATAGTCTACTAAAGGCATGAAATAGATTAATTTCACTAAAAATTAAAACCAACTCCAAAACGAATCACCAAAAGGTAGGACACCGACACCGACTCCGAAAATGGCTAATTTTGTAATCAGTATCCAAATTTTTAATAAGCTCTATAGAACAATTCAATACCACTTTATCTTAATTTTTTTTAATGTGACAGGAGGCAAACGAGCAAACGGATCACCTGTTGGTAAATGATTACCGTCACCCATAGACACCCGCAGACCCAGGGGCGTTACAGGTGTTATTTTTAATTGTGGTATTTTCGCGAAGAAACATATTTAAAATCTAATTCTAATAAGTATGAAAAATATAAATTGTTTTCTTCACGTAAATCGATTAAGTTACAGATTCTGACTAGCTCCTAATTTGGATACTGATTGCAAAGGCCTAGTAAATAAATAACGTAATAATTTTTCTACTTGTATTTATCTAGTGCAGTTGTTTTGGAGTCAATTATAGTTTTTTTACACTAATAGATTCTATTCAGGTAGAAAATAGCGTCTGAGCGCGTCATAATTCAATTGTATCGTCTGACTGCACGTACTCTATGAACAATTCTGACATAAAATCTATTGTCGAACAAAAGCTGGGTTGCACCATCTTACTTCAACTTTGACAAGCGTCAAAAGTCTGTCTAACTCCATACAAAAAACACCGGTTATCGCCAAAGCTACGGTCAAAGTTAGGTCACGTCAGGTGGTGCAACTCAGCCAAAGAAAAAATTCATTTTGATCGCTAATGTCAGTTTGCAGCGAGTGACACAACCTCCCCGTCTGAAGGCCAGCGGCCGACTGCCGCCCGCACCCCGCGAAGGCCCCCTCAACAGCAAAACGTTCGGAATTTATCAAAAGTAAAATTTATGAATGAAAGTAATGTTCGATTGAAAAACGCAACGTGTCATTTAAAGATTAAAGAATTCCTAATCTATTCGTGCAAAAATCTTTTAAATTAACATAGCCGTTTTGGAGGAGTAGGGAATTTAAGTAAAAAATCGATGTCCCGTATTTATTTTTTTAATCCAAAACAAAGAGACGTAGCGAAAATTCAAACGTCACAAATGTAGTCCTTGAACTGTTGTATAACATATATTTTTTTCAACTATTTCTATCCAGCAGTAAAAGAGGAGTAGGCTTTACAAAATGCCCATTTGGCGCGGATTGAGGACACTAATCGCCTTAATTTCGAGTTTCCGATATTTCGGCACTGTTACAAGCGCCATGATCACGGAGTAACTGAGGAAACTGTTATGGGCGTAACATCTCACCATAATTAAAAATCTCATTACTTATTTCAGGGAAACGAATCTGAAAATTTTAAATATTTACTAATTGTCCTCTTATTGTAAGTGATACTTAAAAGGTAATCTTGAACTACGAGTATCAATAAATTGATAAGTAAACATCACATTCACGCCGTTTAAATGTCAGGATAATTTACAACATTTGGATTAAGATAAGCCTTACGATGAGAACTATTCAGTAATCTGCTTATTTCTACTTGTAAGACGACCATTGAGAAACAAGTGATAACAAACTACTATTAAGTGTACATGACCCCATTATTAATAAATAGGATAAATGTTTATCGTGCTAGCTGTTGAAAGGGTGATAAAAATAAAAAGTAAAATTACTAAATTGAGACGATAAGAATCTTGTTTACATTTCTTTCTAATTTTCATTATTCTGTGCAATTTTCTGAATAGGTACTTATTTAACGACAAAATAGCATTGCCCTGGAAACTGAAATAAGTGAAACCTTATGATCCATCACTTACGCAAATGGTATTATGTGAATAACTATAACCCACGTGACGTATAATCAATGTGACGGTACCAGTTAACTTATCTTTTTGTATTGTTTTTAACGTTTTACAGAAGAAACTTTGTTACTATGCACAAAATTGAGACATTATTTTATGCATTTTAAACTTTATAATACTTTTAAAGTATCTTTTGAATTACAAAAATAAGCCGATAAAAAGATTTAAATTATGCACGTCTGTAAACAGCGATATTGTTAATCTTAGGTGGGTATTATCTGCCATTATCAGTCTGTAATCTGTCTATAATAATAATATTATATCTAAAAGTACTTAGCTGTGGTCGCGATTTCGTACGTGTGAAAATAGTTTTTTGGAATAATATAGGTATCTACTTTTCTTTACTGCTCCGCCCCTATTGGCTGTAGGGTGATGTTACATAGCCAAAAGCCTTCCTCGAATTTATGGGCTATCTAACAGTAAAATAATTTTTCAAATCGGACCAGTAAATAATTTCTGGGACTAACGCAAACAAACAAACTCTTTAGGTTTATAAATAACTATAGATTTGTGACTAATAAAAAAGGTTACAATCCTTACAAAAAGTCCATAAAAAAGTGATATAGGTACTCGTAAGAAACAGTGGGTTTATTTTTGTTTACTATACCGTTTACATCATTAACCTCAATGACCTGTTCTGGAAACCGTCACATGATTGCGTTAAGACAAGCAATTTCACCTGATCTCTATAAACTGCACTTCGCAATGCATACTGTACCAGCAGGATATGCACCTAAACTATTGCATAACCTGTGGCTAGCTGTGGTAAAAAATACATTGACACAAAAAAGTTTACCGTATTTTTTGCGAAACTGGATTATCGAAAGATATGAACAGATCTGAACAAAGAGTATTAAACCAACTTTTCAGTTAAAATTAGGGCAAAGGTAGCTTAAAAGGTATAGATTAAGACTAGGCACAGACCATCGATTTTTAGTTGGCCGACAGTTGTGCCCGATTTAAAATTGTATGAAGAATCGGCCAAATCAAATCGGTGTAATTTGCGCACTTCCATACATGCCCAATATGCCCATACTGATCAACTGCCCGACTAAACTATCGGCCGACGAAAAATCGATAGTGTGCGCCTAGGCTAACAGTTTCTGTCAAAGTGAAGCTGCACATTCACGGTCAGTTAAACTGATAGATTGAACGACGTAAGTACATCCAAAAAACTGCCAGTCTATAATTAATTACAATTTCACATGGCCAGTTTCTAGATGTGCATCAGTTCAAGTGATCAGTTAAACTGACCGTGAATATCCAGCTTTACTCAATAGGTCGTATTACGTATGTATTACTTGCATAGAATAGAAATATCTTAAACAAACCTTTGTCCACAGACGAACTTGAGCTGGAACGATAACAGTACGATAACGTTCTTCAACGAGCGCTGGTGGCACTTCGTACCTGAAATGTCCAACGGGAGCCTGTCAGACAACATCACCACCATCAACCCTGTCATAGCGGTGAGCATTTTGCCTTGCATTATAATAAAGTTACCACGTAAAGTTCTTGAGACCACGGACCGGAAGACGTCAAAGTCAAAGTCAAAATTTCTTTATTTGTTTAGACTAATAAATAGTTCTTACAAATCGTCATTTTGCTCTTAAGGAGCCTCTACATGTCTCATAATCTTTTTACCCTACCAGCGCTTCGAGACTAACATTTGGCAAGTGCTGAGAAGAAGCGCCGCAACAAACTCAGTCACCACTGTCTGCCGGTTAATATAAATAAATATAAATAGCAGAAGTAGGTACATTCGATTCAGGAGCAGTTCACTGAATTTACCATGCATTCTTGTATAGTGTATCTTATAAGAATGGGTATACAAAATTGCGTGGTATATTAAACAAGGTAGTGACGTGCTAATATCTAGACTTACATAGATTACATACTCAAATACTAGTAGAAATGACTCTCATACATAAATTGGAATAACTTGGATTGACCAGTCCCCGAAAGCAGCGCCTGTTCACAGACATGACGAGTGAACCAGCCATCGCTTCACTCGACCATATTAGAGGGAATGTAACGACCCGCCTCACTACGCCACCACCCCAGAGACATTTTAGTGAGAATGACAATACCAAGTTATCTCTTAGAGAAAAAAAAACCAATAATAAAGCTAAGTAACAGTCCAGATTGAGAAGCATGACACTATAACATTTTAGAAAATTAGATTAGTTTATACATTACTTTTCATAGACTTTACTTTTCATACGTAAAGAAGGCAGGCCCTCCTGTTCAGTGGACCGATGATCTGGTGAAGGTCGGGGAAAGCACCTGCATACAGGTACATAGCAGAGTAAATACAAATGAGTCGGTCATCTTCATAGAAACGCTCCGAGCGCGGTTTGTATGTGAGCGCGCCAATACGTATGCGGCGCGCACGCACACACTGACAAAATTTAGCGTGGATTAGCGGGGAGTTACTACATTCAAAGGCTAACCGGTCGTTGTTGAAATTACATTGTCCAGCAGACCTCGAACTTATTTTTCACTTCATTATCATCCTTTAAATTCGCAATCGAACACCTGGGTGTCGATCTAGACCACTACATATATCCAGTGGTAAAGAAAAAGGAAAGGAAAAAGGGATTATACTATTTAGTGACATTTTATAGCCACTCTTACGCCCGCGTGATTGATTATTATTAGCGTCGTGGGCCACGAGCTTTGAGTTTCGACGCTACTACACTTACGTCCGTATTCACAAACGATGCTTGTTTAAGTGACGCAGCAAATCGAACGCACAGCGTTGTATAGAGCTATGTGGTTGGTTCGTGTGTCACCCTTGGCGTCCACGTGCACTGTGAGACGTGAATGTTTGTGAATATGGGTGATAATCCCTTTTTGCCCTTTCATTTCTTTTTTATTTCCCTTCTTTCTTCCTTTCCCTTTCATTTTCACTAATATTTCTTGATTTTTTTAATATAAATCGTTTTGAAACTGTTGAACCTTGTTGTAACTAGTTTTTCTCTTCCAGACGGTAGCATACACGCTACGCCACCGCAACGCTCTCCTCAACATGTTTGTAGACGGCTTCCTTCGCCTCTACCACCGCAACCTGTTCCTAACAGCCAACGCGTCGGCGTGGCTCTTCGACGGCATCGACGACCCCGTCATCGACATCGCCGAGCAATTCCCGAACTTGCCCATCAACATACCGTTTGATAAGTTCGGATGGTTCTATACGGTGAGTGTGTTATTGTCTTATGTGAACCAGTGCGTGATCGAATCAGAAATGAGGAGATCTGCAGGAGAACCAGTACGGCTAGCACGAAAAACTTTCGAGTTCAAATCGTTTGCGTGCTCGAATCGCCATCAAAAGATTTAGTACGAAAACTACAACAGCGCCCATGTGAACGTGTCGTAAAGTGAACTTAGTATGAGAAATGGTTGAACGAAACTTATTTTGAGAATCAAAATTGTCAAGTTATCGTTTAATTCGAAGGTTGAGTATCGAATTTTGTCGAATACGCAAACGATTCGAAGACGAAATTTGTTCATGCTAGAGGTACAGAACTAGAGTGACTGACATCAAGTGGCAGTGGGCGGGATACATAGTTCGTGGAGCTGATGGCCGCTGGGGCAGGAAAGTTCTTGAGTGGCGACCACGAGCCGGAAGACGTAGAGTGGGCAGGCCTCCCACTAGGTGGACCGACGATCTGGTGAAGGTCGCGGGAGGTGCCTGAATGCGAGCGGCGCAGGACCGGTCTTTGTGGAAATCCTTGGGGGAGGCCTTTGTCCAGCAGTGGACGTCTTTCGGCTGAAACGATGACAATGACGATGATCTGAACCAACTTACACCATATAGGTCGAAGCAGACAACCTGATAGCTATGTATGAATGCGGCTCTCCCTCCCACTTACGCTGCACTGTGGTCAATTTTCAAACTTTAGCGGTAGAAAATTCAACTTTATCAATTTGCAGGTAATCCGAAAAATAAACTATATTTCTATTTTAGGGTTAGTTGTTTAAATTATAAAGAAATATCATCAGTGTACTCTTATCGGTTCCTAAGATTCATTAATTTAAAGTTAATAATCTGTGTGTTGTAGTATTTCTATTTTAAGATAGACGGATTTGTGCGAGTTTTCTTTTGTTATTTGCTAAATACCTATCCAATAGTGAGTTTAGTAAAAAATGGTGATAATTAGTGAAGGTCAGTACATTCTATTTTTATATTAACAATTTAAAATCTGGCAGATTTTCATATCATAAATAAATAGGGAATTTGACTACCGTTTTTATACATATTTAGCAGATAAAAAGGAACATACGTTTTTAGGAACTAATTAGAAATAAAAACTTTTGTTATTTGGTCATAGGCTGAAGTGTTACCTATTCAAAAATATCAGTTTTATTTGCAGAAATTTGCAGTTTCATTTGATTTTTTCAATTTTTTAGGCAATGAAAGTGCTATCAAAAACATGGAATTATTTGAATTATTATCAAAAAATCCTCCGATGAAGCTGATGTCCCAGAATAGCAAAGATTTATTGTTCAACTTTATTTTAGACTCTATTGGAGTATCAGAATTGAACATAACAAACCAAAAAAAAAATTAAAAAGCAATTCATAATTTTTGTACAATTACTTCAATATTGTGGCTGAAATCAGTTCAAAACCGTAAAAAATTGCGAAATATCACCTTCACATGCCTTCATAGGATTTTATGAGTGTCTGTTACATATTTCGTAAAAAAATACAATAAGAAATAAACAAGCTCGTGGCGAAATAAACTAGAAAATTGTAGCAGAAAGAAAAGTACACATTCAAACTCAATTCAAGTAGTAACTTGGTTTGCTAGTTGATGTTCCTAAGCCTGGGTTCGGGAACAGCAATGATGGCAATACTGCTAGATGCTTCTTTGCTATTCCGGGTAAGTATATCGTCAAATATTACCGGAATCGATAGCGATCTAATTGAGAGGTTCGGTATAATCTTAAAAACCCTTATCTCTGGTTACAAAATAAATAGCGTCAAATTCGGAGAATATGCTAAAGACACTGCTATGAAATAGGTATCTTTATAATTGGTATTCTATGACAACAACCGTTCATTAAAGTTTTAGTACACGGCAAAAACATCATAGACAATTTCATACTACCAATCGGCATGCTCGGAGAGGACTCGCAAGAAAGTCGCCATAAAGACACCAGAAAAATGACCAGACAACTAAACAATGAAGATCTCATTAAAATACTGCTTCTATCTTCAGATCCCATCATGTCTAATATGAGATCTATAACCGTGAATAATAAGAACACCTTGTCAGCTGAAGTTCTAAATTTGTTACAAGAACCAGAAGTCGTAATCATTGAGGGATGACTTTCACATACCTAAATTATGTATAAAATAAAAGTATTTAACGTTTAAGCATGATATTCCATATAATATAATTAAGTACCCCTAAATTCTTAAAATTGACCACTGTGCGCTGTATTAGAGTATCGATGTGACGTCACGTCTTGGCCTGCATCTCACCTGATGGAATGTGATGACCAAAAGCAAAGTTTGTTTTATATTTTTCTTACCGACATCAAAAATAAGAGATCCTCAAATAATTTATTTTTCTTTATGTTCCCCGATTACTAAAAACGCCTGGAAACAACGCGACGGCGCGTGTGCATTAAATTCATTTAGTTATTGCTTGTTACATCTTTCACATAGTAAGTTTCGGGTTTTATCTAAAATTCATTTTACTAAAAAACTTGTCCAAAGTAAAAACGTCTCAAAACAAAAGTTAAAACAACAGGAAACCTCTATGCGTTCAAGGTCATATTAATTTGATTCGTCTTATTGGTGACCGTTTATTTGCAATGAACTATGTCTCATAGAACCTATTTGCATAATGTTACTCGTGTTACGTATCGTGATTATTTGCCATAAAGATACCTGAGAAATATAATGGTTGCACAATCACATACACAGGTATCTGTAAATATTAACGAAACAAAAGAACTGTCTAGACGTCTCGTATTAAATATTGCCTTTGCCTATAACAATGCTAAGAAATCACCATAAGACATGTACGTACATTTTATAAATATACTAGCTTTCCGTCCGCGGCTTCGCCCGCGTAGAATTTTGTCTGTCATAGAAAAACATTATCGAGCGCGTCCCTGTTTCAAAAACCAAGATAAAAACTATCCTATGTCCTTTCCCGGGACTCAAACTATCTCTATGCCAAATTTCATCAAAATCGGTTCAGTGGTTTAGGCGTGAAAGTAAGACAGACAAACAAAGTTACTTTCGCATTTATAATATTAGTATAGTAGATTATTATCTTTATTTTCTCTCCATCTTATAACCTAAGTATGTTTAGCAAATACAATGCTACATCACCATCATGACATTACCAGAGGCAAATGGAGGATTTAGTCTACAGTCCCCACGCACTGAGTAAAAATGCTCTATCTTAGATCTCATTATCGAATGCTATCAGTTGATACATGGACTCAGTCCGAGATACGTTAAAAATACTAATTAAAATAAACCTTGAGTTACATGAGCCCCCCAAACGGAATTACTCGCACAATGGGTTAGGACAAGAACAATTTTATGCTGATGACATGCTGATAATCGAGCACAAAGTTCATTGAAGTTGACATCACTCGCTTTGTACGAGTTATCGTCTGTGCGTATTACTTGCGGTAGGACTAGGTATTACTCATTTGTTTATGTGGCTGATGTATGTAAAACCAAATATTTATTGAATAAATTAAAACTATATTACAGATAGTACTCTTAAATTAGATAAAAGATATCAATAGAAGACCCAAGACAGAAGAAGAAGTAACCTTTCTACCCCACTTACTATAACTTGTTTATAATCTAATTATCTAGCAAATAAATGATTCGTAAACATAATTGTCAGTAGCTGTTTTGTTTTACGTAATAAGGATGTGTTACAGGTAAAATTAAGAAGTAGTTAATTAAACATTATGAAATGAGTGATTTGAAATGGTATGTTAAAGAGCAGGATGTCCATTGAAACGTATTTTTTTCTGCCAGATGGCATGATTGCTTTCTAATCTTAGTAAGTAAAATATGTATAAAAACAATGTAATCTTAAAGCCGATATACGGTTTATTATTGTGATAAAGGATTTAGATCAATATTTTTCCGTGACGACATTTTTTGAATGATTATCTTGCAAAAAATATTTAATAAGCATGTGACATTATCGTTGTAACTAACAAGTTGCAATACAATCAAGGGGATCTTGACGATTCCTTGGCAATTCCTCTTTCCTATTTGTCCAAGTTAAAACGTTGAACGTCATGCTGGATAGTTAGGAGACTCAATCAAAGCATAGCCTTCTTAAATCATAAACCTCAAATACCTAGTTACTAGTAGTACCTAGGTATGAGTCGTGCTGTAGATAATGACAATTCAAAAATGTCTTTGTTTGCTTGGACTGGAATTGGCACTTACAAACCGTCAAATTATGCTCTGAAGAAGCCTTTACATGTTTCTAAACTTTATTTTTCAAATGCTGAGTCCTTAGGTATTCCTAAACATCGTCAAAATAGCTGTTCCGTTGTCCGAATATCCATTGTGAAGCGTATCGCTAATCTATTGAGTAACATTTTGTAATTGATTGCATCGGCGCGTTACGCGAATTCCTTCATGGATCGGGTGCGCGGGGCTTTCCTTTCCTTATGTAACCGTATTTTAATACATTTCTTTGCGTCTATTACATGTTTATAGCCGCAAAATGTATCGATAATATTATAATTATAAATATCCTTAAATAAATATCCTTGGACATTTTACACTGCGCTTCTAGTCCCAAACTAAGCAAAGCTTGTACTATGGGTACTAGACAACGGATATAAACATACTTAAATACTTTTTTTTTTTTTTTGTAAATACATACATATTATACATAGAAAACACCCAGTCCAATACAAACAAATATGTTCATGCACACAAATGTTTGTACTGTGCGGGAATTGAACCCGCAACCTCCGGAATAGTAGTCCGTTTCGAACCACTACACCAAACGGCCGACCAATTGAGAATATTGTCTTATTTTTTTGTACATTACACGTCTGAAACGCCGATCAAATTTGATTTTTATCATTGGTTTTCATACACACATAATACCTATTCATTTATGTATCAAAATTACTTCATCACCCCACACAAGCGTTAATTCATAATACTAATATTACAAATTAGTGTTACGTGATTAGATTTTATCAGTAGGTAAGTCTGTTTGTTCAATCACGTCATCTTTTATCTGTATTCTTTCCACTTTTTAGTACGCAAATCCAAACCGCTATCACCTGTATTTTCTCAATTTCAAGTAGTTTTGAACATTTGCTAAAGGTTATTAAACCTTTGTCACCTCACCTTTGTCACATCCGCTTTGCCATGGAGGGAAGTCGAACCTTAATTTCAAACTCCTATTTTCTTCTGATTAATTTCGTTGCGTGGTCCAATGACAGTTTAACTTTCCTCCGGGACAAACTTGACCTCATTAGTTGGGTTTTTAAAATCAATTAACAAGTTGTGTACGGATTCCTGTAGCAGCCTAGACAGGCTGCTTGCCTTCTGGGGGGATCTGGGGTGGTTGGAGTAGGAAGATAAACCACAAATCACACACAATGACGCATGATAGCGCTAATTGCGGTATTCGATTGCCCTGCAATACTAACTAAGTTGTGTACAGTCACTTGTTCCTATATGACAATAGTCAGGAAAACTTTGGGTGATAGGTGATATCATATCTTTACTAGCGATACTGACCTTGCCACACAAATATTCGATTAATTTATATATCAGTCTAATCGCTAAGTATTTGTGAATATCATTACATTATTGCACCTGTTGTAATCTAATCGGTCACAGCGCCATACGGAAACGCCTTGTACTTGAATGTTCTATGGAAAAACTTACTGTAATTTTTACTTAGAAAACTAGACAAAATTTTATCGGTAATTAAAAATGAATCATCACGTATCCGTGAACAGTTATCACGTACTTACTATAAATAGAGAATCTTGTACTAGTACCGCCTTTGATTTTGTGAAATAACATTGAAAATGACATTTCGACTTAGTGAGTAGCCTATGGGGCATTTTCATGTCTCATCTTTTGAGTCCTAGCAGCGAATAAAAAAAGGATAAGACCCCTACCAAAAGACATAAATGTGCTTAGTATTCGAGCAGGAGGAATGGAGGGTAGGAAAGGAGGATGTACTAATTCAAAATTTCTAGGCCAAAAAAATGCATAATGTCTATTTTGACTGTTTATCTCTTTATTTTTTAGTCTCCAATGAGGGTTTTCGCGTATGAAAAATCCGCCAGATGGCAATACGTAGACGCGAGGTCCAAATGCTGCATGATTGGTTATTTTTGACATGACATTGACAGATATGTCAAAATCCACCAATCACGCAGCAGTCAGACCCCACATCCACGTCCCGCCATCTAGCGGATCTTTCATACGCGAAAACCCTCATTATCACTGATGTATAAAACCCTTCGGCCGTTAAGGAAACCGAAGTTAGGAAACTAGTTTCCTAAAAGCCTTTTTTTATACTTCTACGTAACTGGTTTCCTAAAAGGCTTTTTTTATACTTTTACGTAACTGGTTTCCTAAAAGTACTATGTTTCTGTTATTTCAGCCGCCTATGAAACTATAACCGGATTTACCCTCCATCCATTACCCTTTGGCCGTGTAAACTGTATAATAAACTATCTATACTGACGATTCTGAAACTAGAACTCTTTTCTTTTTAAGAGGAACGGCTCAATCGACTACGACGGGGCATTCAACATGCACACAGGAGCGTCGGACTTCTCTCAACTCGGCAACATAATGGAATGGAGACACAGCAACCGTACGACATTTAGAGGCGAATGTGGGAAAGTCCAGGGCTCCACTGGTGAGCTGTGGGCACCTGAGCTGGGCCAGCCTGAGGTCTACATCTTCGCCTCGGATATTTGCACGTGAGTATTCTTTAGCTTAGTCTGGAGGAACACTAATGTGGTCGCGATCCTCATCAGTGAGGGACCGAGGAAGAAGAATTCTTAGCATTCATAAATTCACAGGAATTCATCACTTCCGCTGCTCATTTAAATTTAACGGCAAGTGCAGCGTGAGACGTCCACTCGCAAGGTGTAGCTTCCTTTTAACCGTTAATTCAGCCGTGAATGACACAATATTGACCTTTTTCCCATTAAGTCGGTGATACTATTAACACTCGAAAGCAGGATATTTGTGACGCTATGAGTATTTAAACCGTCTCACAAGTTCAGTAACTTTTTACGCACAAATATGTATGCTATTTTAATTATGCTTGAAAATCCTTTTTGGACATAATCCCTATATTGAATATCACTATTGCGTAGTAATTATTTCCAAACAAACGACGAGACTAATCCACAGATAAGATAACCATACCATATTTTTATGGTGTTTGTTATCTATGATTCCTTATTGACGCACCTAATCTCAAAAACAGTTCCACAAAAAGGTTCTCTACATTCTAGAGAGTTCTAGAGTCTAGAACATTCGTTATTTGTCATTAACGGAAAGTAAATTAAATAGGGCTGAAAAATCTATTACTCTTCAGTCCTTTCTAAGTTTTGTCCCTATTCTCTACCTTTCTCCATTATCTGTTTACCCAATATAACAGTGAAACGTTTTTATCCGCCAGATACATGATCCTGAGTAAAGACAAGGAGGTGAGAGTGCAGGGAATAGACGGCGTGCAGTACGCAGCCAACGACTCGGTCTTCGATAACGGCTACCGGTATCCTCACATGGTAAGAACACAGAATAATAATAAGTACTACGTACAGAAGATTTTCTTTGCGAAGGTATTTAAAAAAATGTATGCTCAATGTCGTTAACAATATGGTGTAATTTAGCTTGTCTCAAGAGTCGAACACCATTTTGTTGACAAACGTCAGTGATCGGTACTGCGCCGAAGCCATAAGGCTGACTTCGGTAAAATTATAGGTGATGTGAGGTGCCAAACTGCGGAAAATGGCGGAGGAAATACATGAATAAGAATGAATTATATTTTGTGTTTCTATTATTATTCAGGCAGTTAAAAAATACTGCACAGTATTTACACCATCGTTTTTACATATAGTTTATTGTCTTTACAATGCAAATGGGTGAAGAATACACGTGCGTGCGTCAATACTCGCTCGTGATTGTCCTGTCGATTAAGTATTTCAGGAGGGGTAGGCGCGCGTGTTTTGTTTTCGATGCTAACTCGTGGAGATGAACACGCCTGGTAAGGATTCGTACAGACGACAGCACTTCAAGCTAAGCACTGCGCCATCTTGTTCAGTTGTAATAAGAGCTAGTTTGCAACAAATATGTATAGTCTGATGTGCTGTAGCAAACAAATAGACAAATAACGTTATGCTAACAGAATATTAAGGCTCTTTTTGCAAAGTATGATTCTACCTTCAAAAATAATTCTAGCATTAGAAATCCATCAATGTACAGACTTGAATCTATGCTTTAGTTTAAGGCTGAGTTGCACCACCTAACTTTGACCGTAACTATAACGATAACCGGTGTTTTTTGTATGGAGTTTGACAGATTTTTGACATTTGTCAAAGTTAAAGTAAGATGGTGCAACCCAGCCATAATGTAGTTTTAAGCTTGGATTAATAATGCATGCCGTGGTCCAGTGTTATCAAACGATAGTCCATATCGATAGCAGACGAATATCAAGAGACTACCGATACTATCGATTTAATGTTATTCTGAATGCAATATCGTTCGAACTGTTTGCTAGAATTTTGAAGAAGTGGTCTATTTTATCTTGTAGTTTACGTGTACTTCAGTAAGATGGCGTTGATAACTCATTTTTGCGAAAAATTCGTTTATTAACGGTTTAACTTTAAAGGTGCGATATGATGCATAATGTTGTCCGCGAAAATGACATGTGGGTATAACTCGAGAGTTTAATGCGGAAATTATAAGCTTCCTACCTATGTTTCAATTTAAGCTTTATTACCCATAGGTATTTACAACGGACACTTCAATATCTATGTAATCAAAATAATGATATTTTTTGATTAGTTATCGCTATTTTATACGACACTAGGTGTGTGACCAAGCATGCGTGACCACGTGATCTTGTTTCGCCGCATTGGTTAGCACGTGAAAATTACGTAGGTATTGCTCCAATTGGTTCTTCAAAAATCGTTAATCTTACATTGAAGTAATATTACTACGTATAGAACAGACATCGCGAACAAAATATGTACAGTGCGGGGTGCGGGGCGGGAATTTGACGGACAGCTGTCAGTCAAATCCATGACTATCAAGTTTCATAATTTATGGCGATAAAATCTGCACCAGAAAATGTCGTACTTCATTGATAGGATTGCACGAATAGTGACGTTCCTGCGGTCGCCTCATCTTAGACATTGTGAAACGATTGTGAAAATAAAGAAATCGGCTAAATTGTGTTAAATTTTCATGGTGCTCAATAGCAAAAAGATTCAGCTACTTACATTATTTTCTTTTATTATATTGTGCGTTTCCTGTAATGTAATCTAAGCTCCCCTCCCTTAGACTAAAATTAGCCCTCCTAGACAAGTGACAAAACGTAGCAGTTGAAACATTCGAAATCACTTCGCTCTGCCGTTTTTTGGTGTTAGTTACTTCACTCTGTGATGCGATTTTAAAATTACAACTGGCGATTCCGAATTCACAACTGAGGGGACTGAGGCTAATTACTGGGTGGCGCAAAAGTAAAGACCCTATTTGGTTCAGCTATAACATTTTTTCTAAATTAGAAAACTAGATTTAGGTTTTTTTAAATGTATATTTGTGCCATTAAATTTCGTACCATTAGGATTTAAAGATGATGTCTTTTAAATGGTGACCTCCAGAGTTGATACACATTTGAACCCTATTTATGACATTTTGCATAACTTGCCGTAACACTTCCTGCGATATGTTCGTTATTTCTTGACGAATGTTTTCTTTTAGAGCTGCGAGAGTCTGTGGCTTGTTCACATACACCCGAGATTTCAAAAAACCCCAAAGAAAGAAGTCTGGACTGGTCAGATCGGGTGATCTTGCAGGCCAAGGCAAATCGCCAAAACGAGAGATAACTCGACCTGGAAAAGCGTCCGTAAGAACATTGACACAATTATTCCACGTTCTTGGGGAGTAAAACGGTCCATGTTTATTTTCAGTGTATTTTACATTTGTTCACTACACAATTTTCAACAAAAAAATGACAGAAAATGTCATATAAAAAAAAAACGTATTTTCTTTAGTGCCAGTACTTTTGCGCCACCCAGTACGTAGTTTAGATATAAAATTCAGGCGACAATATCCCAACAGTGACGGTGTCCAACTGCCGGTCTAAGGATCTCAAGTTCGATCCCGTTGATACTTTTACTGTTGTGGAGATTGTGGTAAACACAACAGTGAAAGTATAACACAAGCATAATTAACGGTAATATACTCTAGAAAATGTTGCAATAATCTATACGAACTTATAACATAGAAACGTCTATGTATTTGGGTGTTTCGATGCAATAAAATTATTCATTAGACAACGAGGCAGTTGCCACCTTGCCAGTGACGCCACCTAGTGAGTGCAATACAGTAGCTCTGATTAAGATCTTTTGACACCATAAACAAGATCTGGCTTTGTTTTTGGATTTTTCAGTCGCCATTTGTCAAAACATTTCAGTCTAAATGATAAAAGAGACCTATTTTTTAATCTTTAGATAAAATTCCACATCGTCATGTCGAACGGCTAGCAACTGACGATGCAACGTAAATGCTATAAAAAAGAGATTTTTATTTAGGTTATCAGATTCTACCATTCAGCATTACGGCTGGAATTTTTATTACGGAATTAATTCTTATTAGACCCAGTTAAATGAATTTCTTTATCCACTTTTGTCATGATATTTGGGATACTATTTATTTAATAGTTTCAATACGACAACGCATTTTAGTACTCGTATAGTCAAGTGCAATGTATTTTTTAGTAATCATAGATAAGCGAAAGTTTACCTTAAAAAATAGTCTTAGCAGTGTTAGGGTTCTTTTTAATTAGACGTTTTCAGCAGGACGTCTGTCGTGCGTTTGCAAGACCGTGCACTAACTATTGGTATAGATAAATGACCTAAACTGAACTGTCCCACCAAACTCATTGACAGGGGGGCGCTACCATCGTTCAACTGTATAGTTTCCAATATGGCAAAAATAGGAACCAGCGATCCGGTATTGACGGTGGCGCCCCGCTGTCAATGTCACGGGTAGGACAATTCAGTATATTGGGTCTATATTGTCAATTTTATGCCGACGCAGGTGTCATACAATTTACCGTGTGTGGTCCTGCAAACGTACGACAAACGTCCGGCTCAAAACGTCCATTTTGAAAGAGCTCTTAGGTTTCGAACGTTAAAACATTTTCTTATTACAGAAAATCTTTAGTAACTACACTCGGCATCAAATAAATCGCACCTCCCGCGACAAGCACTTATCAAACGTATGCATCCCCACTTCCCACCAACATTGGTACCATTTGAAAGCCTAGTTTTAAACTTCATTTCATTAAAGGAAAGGTTTTTACCCCAAAAATTTGTCTTTACAAGGATCCAGAGTCACTTCTTCAAAAAATAGGTAGTTACGCTATAGCCATTTTTTATGACTTAAAACTGTTAAGTTGGGATTAATCGCTATCCATCTGTTAAAGAGGACACGTGAGATCTTTATTTGGTTTTATAACCATAAAAATTGGTCTAATTGAGCCCAAAGTGAGGTCTATTTTCAAGTCACATTTATGGTGTATGTTAATCATTGATTTAGAAATGAAATGTATTTTTCTTTAAGGATATTTATTGGGCTTTCAAATAACACCAATATTGTTGGGGTACCATGATTGTGTCAGAAGAAAATCTTTAAAGTTCGCGTCGCGGATGGTGCGGTTTATTTGATGTTGAGTGTATTTATTCCTATCCTTCAGGCGTGCTACTGCGACGAGGTCCGAGACGGCAACTGCCTTCCGCCGGGAGCGCTAAACGTGTCGGAGTGTCGCTACGGCGCGCCAGCCTTCGTGTCGCTGCCGCACTTCCTCAACGCAGACCCTTACTACCCCAGCAAGATAGAAGGCCTTAACCCTACGAGGTAAGACTCAATAATAGGCCTTTCATATACAGGGCGTTAGGTAAATGGGTATATGAGCCGACACTAGCCCATGTTAACATATGCACATAAATGCATTCCTTGCATTCCTAAGCTTTTTGAGTCCCTAGTCTATGAACACATTTACCGCCACGTATCACCGTCATTATCCACAAAACAGCATGGCTTTGTTAAACATAGGTCGACTGTAAGCAACCTGCTGGTCTACAAAGATTATCTGTGTAAATCATTTGCTTCTGGGGGACAAGTAGACTCAATATACACCGATTTCAGTAAGGCCTTCGACAAAGTAAATCACAGCCTACTTTGCAGTAAGCTTCAAGCTTTTGGGATTCATGGTCCATTGTATCGCTGGGTATGCTCGTACTTGGAAAATAGAAGTCAGTTGATTGCTGTTAGGGGCTTTCTGTCTTCCCCCAGGGAGGTTACGTCAGGTGTTCCTCAGGGCTCCCATCTGGGACCACTTTTATTCGTATTGTTCATAAATGACCTTATCGATATTATAAATAGCCCCTGCCTGTTGTACGCTGACGACTTAAAAGTTTACTCGGAAATCAATGGTTCTGACGACTGTCAGCGCCTGCAGAACGACTTGATAACTCTCTCCAATTGGTGTGCCAGTAATGGAATGTTCTTGAATACAGGCAAATGTTTCGTTATCTCTTTTTCTAATAAAAAACATAAATTACTTTTTGAATATAAATTAATGGATCATATCCTTGAGAGGAAGGCGGTAGTTAGGGATCTGGGTGTTCTTTTTGATGACCAGTTGACATTTCGTTCTCATTACGATGATATTATTAGGCGTGGAAACCAAATGCTGGGTTTCATTGTGAGGTGCACTAGTCGATTCAAGGACCCACGTAGCACCCTGAAATTATTTTACAGTTTGGTGAGGAGTATACTGGAATATGGCTGTCCTATTTGGTCTCCATATTATAAAGTTCACTCGGATAGCATTGAGCGTGTCCAGAGGAGATGCCTAAGGATAGTGTCATTTCGCTGTGGATTTGGTAGAACTCTTAAAGATTACAATGACAGAATGGTTAAATTCGGAGTAACTTCATTGCATACTCGTCGCCAGAAAATTGATATTGTATATCTACACAAAATTGTACACTCATTCATTGACTGTCCCGATTTAGTGACTCAACTGAATTTTAACACAAATTATAGAAGTAGACGTTCTAAACTGTTCCCACTAGAAGTTTACAAAAATAACACCTCTTTTTACAATCCCCTGGTTAGGATGCGCAGACTTTATAATGACATGGCGTTAGAGAATCCGGAATTTGATATATTTCAACAAAAATTACACTCGTTTCGCAGAAGCATTGACACAGTTTTAAATATAAATATTGATAATAATACAAAAAATAATTGATAACTTTTTCCTTTTTTCTTTTTTAACACAGTTTATAGGGTTGTGTACTTGAGCATTTTGTATGTGTTTATTAATAATTGCGCAACGTAAATGAAATCATCGTAACTTAAATGTACGCTACTTGTAGGTTGGAGTCTAGACAGTGTTCATTTTGTTTATGTATTTTGATATGTAAATGACTGTAACCTGTATGTGTACTTATTAAATAAAATAAATAAATAAATGGTATAGTGAAGTCAGAAATTTGATATCATAATTGTAACTTTTTAAATGTTCATACAAAATATTTATATAATCAGATTTGTATGAAAATTAAAATAATTAAAATGATTTATATGCACATGTTAACATGGGCTAGTGTCGGCTCATATACCCATTTACCTAACACCTTGTATAGGCTAGATATCAAATCAAATAAAATAGTTTATTCAGTACATAGGCCCTTTCCAGGGCGCTATACACGTCCCAAATATAGCTTGCCCTACCACCACTTCAGGATAACATCTGGGCTGGGAAAAATTTTACTAATGCCCGTTTTCACCATCAATCCCTAATTTTTAAGTGACTCTTTGGTAACATAACAGGAACTTTGTTTTCATAGGGGTCACTCAAAAATTAGGGATTGATAGTGAAAACGGGCATAAGTCCATTATTATGGCCCTTAAAAGCTCAAGGTCACCCAAAAAGCGATGGAGCGTGCTATCCTCGGAGTTGCCTGCCTTACAAATCAGAAATAAGAAAATCCAAAGGAGACACTTATGCCCGTTTTCACCATCGATCCCTAATTTTTAAGTGACCCCTACGAAACCAAAATTCCTGCTATGTGTTAACATATGGGTCACTTAGAAATTAGGGATTTTTTGTGAAAACGGGCATGATTGACTTACTTACATAGCCCGCAGAATCGCCAAACTTGGCAATTGGCGGGGGGAGAACTAAAGTTCGGAAAACGTTTTTGAGTGGCGCCCGTGGTAGCCGGGTAACTCAGTGTGGGCAGGCGTCCAATTCGATCAACAGACGATCTGAAGGGTCTAGCCTTTGTCCAGCAGTAGACGTCTTTTGTTTAAAACGTGATGATCAAGCTATAATCTGGTCCGTATATCCGTATAGCTCGCACACTCGCTGCGGGTGCCAGTCGCACAATCGCGACAGCAATATAATTACGCGCGAGCGATAAGGATGGGTAGCTAGGGGTCATTGGACAAAATTCTACGTGCTCACGGACCGGGCTTTATGTATAATGGTATTTTTTGTTTGTGTTGCAGCGAGCACAACTTCAGGCTGTCACTGGAGATGTTCACGGGCATGCCGCTGGCCGTGGCCGCGCAGCTACAGGTCAACATGCTAGTGCGACACGTCGGCGGCATCTCGTGAGTGCCATTATAGTCTCTACAGCACCGGAATAGGGCCCAGTGTCCCGTGGCACTTGGGCGGCATCGCGTAAGTGCCATTATAGTGTTAAAGAGGACACATGATATCATTATTTGGTTTTATAACCACAAAAATTGGTCTACTTGTTCCCAGAGGTGAGCCCCAAGTGAAGCCTTTTTTCAAGTCACATTTATGGTAACAGTTAATTGTTTATAAAAAAATTAAATGTGTTTTTCTTTAAGTTAACTTTATTTATCAAATAAAAACATTTTCATTTTCATTTTCATTTTCATTTTTCATTTTTTTTTTAAGTTAATTTATTGGGCTTTCAAATAACACCAATATTGTTGGGGCACCATGATTATGTTAGAAGAAATGACTTTGACTTTGAAAATCTTTTAAGCTCGCGTCACGGAAGGTGCGATTTATTTGATGTTGAGTATATTTACCAAATTCGCTGTAATACCAGAGAAAGTACCCAAACTACTTGACTCGTTCAAAGAGCTGTCTGCAATGTACCACGCTTGGTTACAGGGGGTAAGGGAGACATTTTTTAACTAAAAACTCCTGTTATGTTTTCATCACGGAGTTAATGTATTGTGTACTCCTCACTCCAATCACTCGCACTAAACGTTTCGATAACTCTTACTCGTATAATGCGAACAGCTACAGACTGGAATTCGCTGCCTGCTGCTGTCTTTCCCGAGCACTATAATCCGGGCCTTTTTAAGGCGAGAATAAATAGACACTTAAAGCGCTTTCACATTAGGGCGTTAGTAGCGCGACAGCAGCGCGGCAACGGCGTTTTTTTAATGTGAAGGCATGCATTCGCTGTCATATAGTATGAAACTTTCGGCAGCGCGTCTGTCGCGCGTTTGTCGCGCTGCTAAATCGCCTAAATGTGAAAGCGCTCTTACAGGACAGATATGTACCATTTTCTAGACTGCATCTCACTTAACACCAGGGAAGTCCAACTTTAATTTCGAACTCCTATGTTCTTCTGATTAATTTCATTGCGGGCCCAATGACAGTTTAACTTTCCCCCTGGACAAACTTGACCTTCATTGGTTGGGTTTTATGGCGGTCAAGCTGTAGATCCTGGCTACAGTGTTGCAGTGGTGGGACCGAGAGGTGGGAATAGTCCCGAAACACCAGGTGCGAAAGATCCAAGTTATTCAAATTTATGTATGCGAGTCATTTCTACTAGTATTTTCATTGTAAGTCTAGATATTAGCACGTCACTACCTTGTTTAATATACCACGCAATTTTGTATACCCATTCTTATAAGATACACCATACAAGAATGCATGGTAAATTCAGTGAACTGCTCCTGAATCGAATATACCTACTACTGCTATTTCTATTTATTTATACTAACCGGCAGACAGTGGTGACTGAGTTTGTTGCGGCGCTTCTTCTCAGCACTTGCCAAATGTTGGTCTCGAAGCGCTGGTAGGGTAAAAAGATTATGAGACATGTAGAAGCTCCTTAAGAGCGTTTACGCCGTTTGGCGCAAAAACAGTACTTTTTCAACTCGTTACAATCATTAACCAGTAATACTACAAATATGTTATAGGCATAAATAGTTAGGCAATTTTGTCGTCTAAATAGTTAATTGAGAAAATATTGCGATTAGTTTAGCATTTAAGAATTCTATCAAGATAAGTCCACACAGGTTTTGTAAATTTCCACTTAAGCGTCAGTTTACAAGCTGAAATTTTTATAAAAATACTGTGAAAACGATTTAACTAACATTTATATCCTATAGCATAGATCCTTGGGCAAATAGTTATCTGAGAAAATTTTTAGATTTAAGCATTTTACAATAAGAAATCACAAATTAAAAGAACGTGAAATACCCAAAAATCAAAGTGATTTTTTCACCAATATTCTTCCTTTATTCAACACAAAAATAGCTTATTATAATAGAAGAATATCTTATCTAAAATATTTACTTTGAAATTTAAAATAATTCATTGTAATTTTTTTTCTATGAGTATTCGAAACTGTATAAAATATTCTCAAAATAGTAAAAAACCTTTGATAATTTACTATTTGATAAAGAATTTACGTATTTATTATTGATTAGGACTAATGTATACCATTATTTATAATTATGGAGTCGGTGTTGGAAGATTTGAAGATTTTATAGTTTCCTTGAGCTGTCACTTGACAGCCTGGCACACTTTTACGATGGTGGATCAAAGTATTTTGGTTTAACTATAGAGCGTGAGAACACGCACACAGTCATAATTATTTTAGTGTGAATAAAACTAGCATCGAAATTACCTAAACTTGACATGCCACGCTAGACGTAAACGCTCTTAAGAGCAAAATGACGATTTGTAAGAACTACACTGGTCATCATAAAAATCGACCCACCCGCGACAAGCACTTTCAAACGTGTGCATCCCCACTTCCCACCAATATTACTATACTATATTACCATTTAAAAGCCTAGTTCTAAACTTCATTTCATTAAAGGAAAGGTTTTTACCCCAAAAATGTGTCTTTACAAGAATCCAGAGTCACTTCTTCAAAAAATAGGTAGTTACGCTATAGCCATTTTTTATGACTATAAACCTAAGATGATCCGTATGACGTTTCGAGTTTCAAAGATTTAGAGATGTCACATAACTAAACCATAGCGATTTATCTATCGATTTTTTTCGAAGAGTTAGTAAAACCTACTTTTAGAGAAATATTTTGTATAGGTGTTATTTAACAAAAAAACATGTTTCTTTTAATTACAAATATTATTGGAACAATTTTTTATTGATAATATTCAAATGTCATGGTTCATGTTCAAAAAAACGATTCCTAAAAAGTACTGGCTCTGTTTCTTTAAATTAAAAACTATTAATTTATTTTCAATGCGTTTATTAAAGTCAATAATCGAAAAATATAGTTGATTTTTGTGATGTTTTTAATAACTAAGTATTCACTGCAATCGATTAATGAACCGCGGAAATAATCGATTTTATTATACAAGAAATACCCCAGCACTAAATCTATTCCGTTTCACACATTGCGTACATTAAATAAAAAATATTTTTACATCGTATTCAATTAAAATATAATCAATAGACTCAGATTTTACTATTTATTTCAAGACAAGTAGTTAATTTTTTTTAATTATATTGCTAATAAAATATAAATATTTTTACAAAAATATTCTGCATATGTAGTATGCGTAATATGGATAACCTTGAAGTGTCATACGGATCATCTTACGTGAAAAAGACTATAAGTTGGGATTAATCGCTATCCATCTGTTAAAGAGGCCACATGAGATCATTATTTGGTTTTATAACCATAAAAATTGGTCTAATTGATCCCAGAGGTGAGCCCAAAGTGAGGTTTTTTTTTCAAGTTTTTCAAGTCACATTTATTGTATATGTTAATCGTTTATTAGGAAATTAAATGTGTTTTTCTTAAAGGATATTTATTTGGCTTTCAAATAACACCAATATTGTTGGGGTACCATGATTGTGTCAGTAGAAACGAGTTTTCCTGTAAAACGTAGGTGGGCCGATTTTTGTGATGGCCAGTGTATTTATTAGTCTAAACAAATAAAGAAATTTTGACTTTGATTGCGGTGTGCCTTGCTTTATACTCACTCAAATTCATCTCCAGGCTAAACAACGTGCTGCCGGACCCGGACACGTTGGTGCCGATGTTCTGGTTCCGGCAGGAGCTGCAGACCACGCCCGAATACGCCGCGCAGGCGCGCCTTGCGTTGCGATTGCGGTACTGGGTGCCGTACGGGCTCATCGCGCTCACTGTAAGTTGACAGATTAACGACCGATTCCCATATTCAATCCTTGTCCAAATCCGGATTACAACTGTCAAATTGAATTCAGTTTTAGATTATACTAGCTTTCCGCCCACGGCTTCGCCCGCGTGGATTTTTTTCTGTCACAGAAAAACTTTATCGCGCGCGTCCCTGTTTCAAAAACCGGGATAAAAACTATCCTATGTTCTTTCCCGGGACTCAAACTATCTCTATGCCAAATTTCATCAAAATCGGTTGCGAGGTTTAAGCGGGAAAGCGTAACAGACAGACAGACAGACAGACAGACAGACAGACAGACAGAGTTACTTTCGCATTTATAATATTATATAGTTGGGATTTTCAAAATTTTCGATGCTTTTACACTTTAATATTGTTTAAATAGTCTTATAAACAATATAAAAATGTAAAAACATCAAAAACCGCAGATATTTTGGCCAAAAACATATTAAAAGTTGACAATCCAAATCCGTATAATTTGGATTAGGCTTGAATATAGAAATCCAGCATAAAGCTTCAACCACACCGACGCGTGCAGATCGCCATCGCTGGCGCGATCATAGGCCAATGACAGGTCGCGCGACCCATGACAGTCCGCGCGACCTGTCATTGGCCTATGAATGGGCCGTGATCGCGCTGTCGGTATGGTTGAAGCTTTAGGCTGGGTTGCACCATCTTACTTCAACTTTGACAAACGTCAAAAATCTGTCAAACTTCATAAAAACCACCGGTTATCGTTAAAGTTACGGTCAAAGTTAGGTGGTGCAACTCAGCCTAAGTCATTGTTAGCATAAGGTTGCAATACTTTTATTTATTTATTGAGAAAACCAACAGCGTATTTATACAATGTTAATATTACATTAATTAACTATAGGTTTCCCTACTTTGCTTACTTTGGGACTAGATGGGGCTGTGCAAAATCTTCAAGGATAAATATAAGTTTAAGTTATACACATTAAATTCCAATACTTTGTACCAGTCAAAACTAAGTTTATTTCCTTTGCAGGTAATCGGCGTAATTCTCCTAGTACCAGGTATAATCATTCTATTCAAACGGATATTAAGGTCGTCGGAGACGAGGCCAATCCTTTCCGAGTCTTCGTCAGAAGAAAGTACCAACGCAGCTCAGTGACGAACAAAGTCTAGTTGGAAAACCTTCCAAATTGACTGTACTATTATACCAGTGAAAAATACCAAAAGATAGTACCAGTGAAAAAAGTGCGTAAGAAGCGTTCACAAAGGTAAGGTAACAGATACACTTTCTCATAAAATGTCATGCTTATTAGCATTCTTAAAACAAGCGTGCTCGAAAAATTCGAAATAAGAATGTTTAATAAGCTCGGGCCGTGGGAAAATGTCATTAATTTTATTGCGATAATTGACGTTAACCGTAGGTGTATAGTTCCAAAATACTGGACTGTCCTATCGATGACATTGACAGTGGGGCGCCACCGTCAATACCGGATCGCTGGTTCCGATTTTTGCCATGTTGGAAACCATACAGTTGAACGATGGTAGCGCCCCCCTGTCATTGAGTTTGGTGGGACAGTTCAGCGTGGGTCATCTATACCCACGACTTAACGCGATAATTTGACAACGGCAATAACATTTCCGTTTGGTGTTGGCTCAGAGATTTACGCGAGAATTAATGTGTTGAAGCGGCCACACCACTCTACGTCAGTGTCGCAATAATTATCGCGATAATGGGCATTGACGTTAGCCGTTAGTGTGGCCCCAACATTGAGTCCCACGATTCTGAAACGAAACGTCTGAAACGAAACAAGTGGCAAAAATCTAAAAGTAACAACCCAGTATTGATTGATAGTAGCGCCCTCTTGTATTTGTTATAATTCTAAGGTACGTGGCAATAATCGGAACTAATAATCCAGTATTCATAGAAGCGCCCTTCTGACAACGTCATAGCTAGGACGGTTCAGTGTAGGTCATCTTTATTAGCAATGTTTCGACACAAATACTACTAAGTGAAAATTGCTCAATAGTGGCATGCTTTCGTGCTAGTAATGAGCATGTGTATCTGTACCTTAACATTTGCTGTTTTTGCTTGCACACGTTTTACAAAAATGTACTGTGTTCTTACCATGAGTTTACGTTAGGTGTGCTCGCTAGCGAGTACGTCAAAAAATCTATGAAGATTTTATTTCTTGAAAGTAGCCGCTAGGAGCGCTGCGCAATTATGTCATACATTTAATGTCATTTTTTTACGCAGTCGCTAGCGAACACACCTAACGTAAACTCATGGTAAGCACACTGTAACTAAACATAATAAGGTGACTTTTCCAAACATAACTGCACCAAAACATAACACTCCAGAGCTAGAGTATTACTAATTAATGATGTGAATGTCCCAAAGACGTATTAACAGTTTCTTAGTTGATATTATGTTACGATTTTAAACACTTATGTATAAAGCAGGATCATTCGTGACAACGAATCTGTTGTATTTAATGTTAGTAAAATGTGTGTTTCTGTATCAGTGCCTTAATTTCAAAATTGTCTTCTAACGAGAGGGTATTTAAATAAATTTAGATCTAAAATGACTGAGATCACACAGCGTAACCAATAATGTGATTCAAATCCCGAAGGCAAGTATCATTTGTTTTGCTCTTCCATTTGTTTTATGAACTTTTTTATAAGTACACGATTATGTTCAAATTTTCTCAAAGATTATGAGCCTTATATTGATGATTCAAAGTTCGAAATTCGATGAGGAAATTCGTTATTTTGTAGCTAATTGATACTGGTGACTAGTATATTGAAACCCTGACATAACATTTTGTACAGGGTATTCTTGTGTGACAAGTATTTACGAAAATAGAGCCTTAAGGAAGTCTTAAAACAAAATTTTAATCTTTTCCCTGGAAAATAATACAAAAATGATATTTTCGACTGATTGTTATAGTTTTCTTATGAAATGGAATAGGTCCAAAGAATGTCAATCAATAGTTACCTACGTTTTAAGTGTTCCAGACTTTGCCATATAAATTGTTTAGGATTCTTATGATTATTGAGCATTTTGACAAATGTAAACAAATCAATATGCAAAAAATACTATAAAAATGTAAAAAAAAAAAACAACCAAATTGTTATTTTTATATGCAATTTTTATTAGTTTTGTTTACCTTTGACAAAAATTTGGTCAAATTATAATTTTGTTAACTAGCTTTATTCTTATTCTATAACTAGCGGCCGCCCGCGACTTCGTACGCGTGGATCCCGTTTTACCCCCTTCATCTATCTTACGCGGTTTAGATTTTTTCATACAAATGTTTTTTCCCGCTAACTCCCGTTTCCGTGAGAATTTTGCAATATCCTGTTGTAACTAAGCTTTAAATTTATTAAGGTACCTGCATGCCAAATTTCAAGCGTCTATCTTACGTGGCTTAGATTTTTTCATACAAATGTTTTTTCCCGCTAACTCCCGTTCCCGTAAGAATTTTGCAATATCCTGTTGTAACTAAGCTCTAAGTTTACTAAGGTACCTACATGCCAAATTTCAAGCGTCTAACTTAAGCGGTTTAGATTTTACATACAAAAGGATTTTCCCGCTAATTCCCGTTCCCGTGGGAATTCCTAAGTATCCTATAACCTGCCCAAGAGTATGAAGAATAATTGTACCAAGTTTCGTTAAAATCCGTTGAGTAGTTTTTGTTTCTATAAGGAACATACAGACAGACAGACAGACAGACAGACAGACAGACAGACAGACAGACAAAAATTTTACTGATTGCATTTTTGGCATCAGTATCGATCACTAATCACCCCCTGATAGTTGTTTTGAAAATATATTTCATGTACAGAATTGACCTCTCTACAGATTTATTATAAGTATATAGATTTGTACATAGTAGAGTGTAGATAAGTATTGTTAATAGTTTAAACATTTTGTATTATTATGATTGTACATTTGTATTTTGTACTTAAATATAGTTTATGATGTTTTGATAATGTTGAGTTTTATTTAAATTACTCACTTTTATTTTACACGTCATAAAACGGTAATAATAAACACTAAAAAGCAGTTTAATAGGTTATATGTAATTTTCCTAATTAGTTGCCTCTTAACATTCTAAACAAATAAATTATTTTAATGTAGAACATAATACGCCGCATAATAAGTTGTTATCACTACAAAATGAGTAGTAACCGGTATTTTTAATATGAAAATCGAAAATTTGGTGGTAATATACAAGCTGGTCAAACTTGAACATGGTGAATAAAAATTATAACGGATAACGGTAAATTAGCAATTCGTTCGTTCCGTTTCAGCCGAATGACGTCTACTGCTGGACAAAGGCCTCCTCAATGAACGGTCCTGCGCTGCCCGCATCCAGGCTCTTCCTGCGATCTTCACCAGATCGTCCGTAATAAAATTAGCAATATCGTAATGTAAAAGGATTGGTCTACCCAGTAATATGGGAAGGAGATACTTTTATCATCTTTCTGTTGGTGAAATAACCCTCTGGTAACTTTACAAAAGTGCATGATGTATTGCTACTGATGGACCGTGATGTCGAAAATATAAAAGATACCTTTTTCTTGGCAAATAACGCAAAATTAGGATTAGTTTGGCCTCGGTTTTTACGAACTGGTAAAAGTTTTTGCAGCTGTTGCATGGATCGTTCCCATTGGAGATCAAAAGAATATAAAAAACCGAAAAAGCGCCTGAAGTATTAGAAGGAAGAATAAATAAACAATAGAACCGACACACACGCTGTGATACTCGTAAGATGTAGCAATGGTAAGCATTACACTGGTCAACAAAAAATCAAAATGAAAATGGTGCCGAGATTCTGTTGATAGTTTATTATTAGGTGTGTATTAGTAATAATAAAAATATTTTTCTTTTTTTTTTCCTACGTGTAGTTTTGGATCTACCCTCAGTTTTAAAATTTAGCTTAAATCGGTACTTTGGTTGCACAGTTTGTAGTGTTATCGGTACATTTTTATAAATGTATTTATTTTAATATCATGTCTACATTGCCAAAAAGTTGTCTCAATAATCAGAATGTATTTTTGTTACATTTGTGGTGTGTACACAGTTAAAAAGTTCAAAAATTCAGGCAATATTTCATTAAAAGTGCTTATTTTTCTTACTTTAAGTCGGAAATTGTGGTTGTATTCAAGCCGTGGATACCCAAAATTGTTTGTATAATCTGCTGTGAACACTTAAGGCAATGTTACAATAGTCAAAGAAGCCGTAACATGAAGTACAGAGTGGACAAAGTGAGGAAAGAACAAAAAAAAATCCTAGTTTGAGCATATTTTTTTTTAAATTAATTTATTAAGTAATTTTTAATGGTCCATAAATAACAACATTAATAAAAGATACTGATTTCTTAAGTTTGATGGACTATTTGGAACGATTTGCATAGATTTTGTTAATTGAAATTACAATTTTTTTTTTGGAAATCACTAGTCCAGTAACTACTCTGAAATTGTGAGACATGCCTTAAAAACTCAGGATGTCATAATTTTCATCAAAGAGCACTACCTCCACAGTCATCTTGACCAATTCCCAGAGAATCTTGGGTCACTATAGCATGGTATAGCTAAGAATAGGGAGAGCGATGCTATCAAGACCTAAAAACCATTGGAAGAGAGGTACCAAGGCAAATGGGATCGGTATATGATGGCTGATTACTGCTGGAGGATGTAACGTGATAGTTCCATTACACCTCATTCACAAAAGTCGTGGAAAATAAAGTTTTTAAGCATTTCAAAATATTATAAACGCTGATTTTGGTGAAATTTTGTATTTTTCTATACACGTCAAAATCTAGAAAACCACACGTAGGAAATCGAAAACTTTGCTACTAAAGCAACCAGCATAAGGTCCTCAATCAAAAAATATATACAGTTCCTTGGCACCAAAACCACTGTTGACCAGTGTTATTAGTTTTAAGACGTAGCCCAAGTAGTAAGATTTTACAGTACTTATTTTGAAATAAATAAAACAGAAGACTGTCAACCTAACACCCTATATTTTTCAAATTGTTGCATAATAAAAATGTAATATATGAATAAAATTTAAATTTAAACCACTTCTCATTTAGCAAGACTAATATTTTATCAACTTTTGTTTTAAATTATGCAGAATTGAGCACATCTAGATCTATGAAACTATCAAAAAAATGGACGCATTAGAAACATAAATTAGGCTAATATTGCAGGTTGCACTAAAAAGACAAAAAATATAATAGCAATTTTAAGTTTCACTGTAGATAAGTATGTAAATTAAATATTTGCATAAAATATATGAAAATTGTTTCAAACTCAGTCTTAATCATTTCTTTGTATGGTGGCGATAAAATAATTCCAATGTGATGATAATATTATCATGGATTTAACTTACCTACCTCACTAGTACTATTTAAGCACCTACGTAACCTAGGTACAGTCAGCGTCAAATAGTTCATGACACCCAAAGTGACCAAAAAGACAACAACACAACCATATTCCGATTGTAACAAAGGCGTGTTACGAACTTATTCGCTACTAGCTAGTGTTCCCGGGGCCTATAGGCTTTTAGGCTTAAAATTAAGCCTATTTAGTTCTTTTTTTGGCCATGATAGACTACTAGGCTTTTAAAAGGCTACTCATTATAAAAAGCCTATAGGTTTACAAAAAAACCTATAGGCCTAAATAGCCTTTTAGGCTTTATTTCCGACTAAAGTCTTTTTCGAGTAGTAGGCTTATTATAAGGCTATAGCCATTATTCAGGTTATGGCTTAGTATGAATTAAACAAGTATTTTTGTATTGCATTTATTTTTAAATTAAATAAAAACGAATATTATTTGAAATTGGAAATAATTAAGTACCTAATTGTTATACATTATTATTATCATATATTTCTAGGATCCCATCATCAGATCCTGACTTGGTGACAATGGGACCACCTCAGAAGTGTACCCTATCGAACAAAAAAATAATTTTGAAAATCGTTCCACAATGAGGATCAGTACTGTTGTAGAAAATTCAATAAAACTAGTATCTACGTTAATCTTTAAGACATAAGAAAGATATATCTTTTTGAATTATCCAAATCGGACCATTACTTACGAAGATATTAAGTAATAAACATAGGCCGTTTTTGCCGCTAAAAGTCAACGTACGCAAGGCCGCGTGACGTCATTATATCCGAATCGAGCGCAGCCGGCGTACTAATGGGATGGAAAATATTTTTTTCCGGCTAAACTATCAGTTTTAGAAAAAAACTTTTAATAACATTTATTCTTCAAAATAAAGTAACCTATCGACCAGTAATTTTTAAAAATAAAAATTGTGAAAAATAAGTATTGCTATGTCCAAAAACCACATTTTCATAGGATTCGATGCAATGCGGAGACGCGGTTGGGGTGAGTGTAACTTAATGATTGTTTGTATTGAACATAATAATACATAATATGATGCTAATACCCAGTTTCTGGCCTGGGGGGGGTATGTACACTTTATTTGAATAAATCGCCAAATATACCACCGCGGAGACCCCAATCGCGTCTCTGCGTGCCATTGAATCGTATGAGCGTATGGATTTTTTGCGTTATTTTTCACAATTTCCATTTTTAAAAATTACCTATCGATAGCTTACTTTATTCTGATGAATAAATGTCATTACAAGTTTTTCTCTAAAACTGATAATTTGGCTAGAAAAAAATATTTTCTATCCACGCAGTACGCCGGCAGCGTTCGGATCGGATATAATGACGTCATCGTCCCCGCGCCGGGCGGTCAGTGAACTTTTTTAGTAATTTGGCCATAACTTCGTCAATTTTTGTCGTAGAACAAAAATTTTTGCACTGTGTATTAAGGATTTCTTAGCCCTATAAATCTGCATTCACAGCTAAAAATCGAAATGATCCTCATTGACGGAGTAATCGGTCGAACATATAACTCCTTCTTTTTTGAAGTCGGTTAAAAATAAATATTCATATACATATTCATTTATTGCATCCTGTTGTACAATTAGGTGTTTACAAATAAATAAAATAGACCTAGCCTAAAGGACGAAAAATCTTTATAGGTTTTTAGCCTTTAGCCTTTTTGTTAAAAGGCTAAAAGCCTATAGTCATCGGGTAGACAAAAAAAGGCTATGAAAAAGGCCTAGCCTAAAGGCCTAAAAGACCTTTTTAGGCTTTTTTCCCGCTGTAGCCCCTAATTCATAGGCTAGCCTTAAAAAAAAGCCTAAAAGCCTATAGGCCTCGGGAACACTACTACTAGCGGCCGCCCGCGACTTCGTACGCGTGGATCCCGTTTTACCTCCTTAATCTATCTTACGCGGTTTAGACTTTTTCATACAAATGTTTTTTCCCGCTAACTCCCGTTCCCGTGGGAATTTTGCAATATTCTGTTGTAACTAAGCTTTAAGTTTACTAAGGTACCTGCATGCCAAATTTCAAGCTTCTAACTTAAGCGGTTTAGATTTTTCATACAAAAGGATTTTCCCGCGAATTCCTGTTCCCGTGGGAATTCCTAAGTATACTATAACCTGCCCAGGAGTATGAAGAATAATTGTACCAAGTTTCGTTAAAATCCGTCGAGTAGTTTTTGTTTCTATAAGGAACATACAGACGGACAGACAGACAGACAAAAATTTTACTGATTGCATTTTTGGCATCAGTATCGATCACTTATCACCCGATGATAGTTATTTTGAAAATATATTTCATGTACAGAATTGACCTTTCTACAGATTTATTAGAAGTATAGATTTTGGGTGTCACGAACTATTTGACGCGGACTGTACTACTGAAAGCGATGGAACGATTACGGTACGCGAAACGCCTACTAAATTAATAACAGCAAAACCGCAATTAAGAGTAAGCTTGCGGTAAATGTTTTCACAGGAATATCAGATTTGCATGAATATTTATAATTTGCTACAGCAGGGTTAAGTTCATTTTGACTTGAAAGCTGTTTAATGAATGAAATTAAATATGTTTCAGCCTTTATCAAGCTTTTGAGTGTAATTAAAATAACTGAAATGTTTTCTTCATCGTTTAATTTGTTTTTAATTCTCACTAATTACAAGCGAGATAAAAATACATTTAATCCATCTTATATCCGCCAGAACCTTTTCACATTTAAAAAACTTTAGACATAGATTTAAAAATAAACACGAAGTTACACTTTACTACTTAGGCTGAGTTGCACCATCTTACTTTAACTTTGACAAACTTCAAAAATCTGTCAAACTCCATACAAAAAGCACCGGTTATTGTTACACATAACTTAAGATGGTGTAACTCAGCCTTAGTACCTATTTTTATTGGTCGCAGAAGACTAAGTACGGATAGGTATTATGGCTTACCTATGTTATATTTTATTTTAGTGTCGTGTCTATAAAATAGTTTGTATTAAACGAAAACAAATAGGTGTACTTTGTAAAGTAACCTAACATTTGTAGTTAAATAGGTAAGTGTGTAGGTAAGTATTTATAATTAGTTAGGTAAAATCATATGGTAAAACTATGAGTTTTTCTTATCAAGCCCTAAGCAAACGTGTTTCTACGCGACGAGATAAGTAACAAACAAACATTAAAATAAAATAAATACAAACCCACTACGTAAACATTACCTAATCATGATGACTAATTAAAACTTAGTTTTCGTTCCTACAACGTCAAATCTGCAACCAGTGCTCTACGCCATTTATTCAATAGTTAAAATACAACTAAGTGTAACCATATAAACTTTATTTACTTATACCACCATCACCAGCCCATAATATGTTGTCCCGAAGTGGTGGTAGGTACTGCAATTGGGACGTGTATAAGCCGCCCTGAAAAGGGACTAAGTACTTACTGAATAAAACATTTTGTTATTTATTTTTATAACAAAAGTTATTGACTCAAACTACGCATAGTACCTACTTACGAATCAATCAGAAATAAATAATTAGGATGTCGTTTATGGCATTTTTCATCTGACTACTTATCTACCTAGCTCTACATTTTGGTTAATTGCCAACTACAAACACCTAATTAGTAAATAGGCTCAATCATTAAACGAAAACAAATAGTAATAAAGTGGAAGACATATCTTTGTCTCATTAACTCGTAAAGTTCATCCACAGTTTGTTGATAATATCGAGTGAATCGACGACCGTTATCAGTCCTACCGCGGGTTTGGGCACGGCCTGACGCGTCTTCTCACAAAGTTTTGGATCGCGCGGTTTCCTACGAACGCATTTTAGTATTTTTAGTTCATATTTAATTCATTCCATTACGACTCTACCAAGTTTCAATCAATGAAGTGACAAGAATTTCATTCAATACCGTGTTTTGGAGATGAGTGTGTTGTTTTAAAACTGTGCAAGCTCGGATTTCGGAAATTGTTTTAAATTTTCACGCGTGAAAAGGTAAGGTTTCCCTCTTTTAGCACACCTGCGTAAACAAATAGATAAAACTGGATTTCGGCTTGATAATGATTTTGCCGGTTAGACGATAAGTGATAACGATGTACCAAATAGTCACGTCTTTTGTTTAGGCTCGTTGATTTTGTGATAACTTCAGATTTAGGCCGATGATCGATTAGTTAGAAAAACTTAGTCAAAATAGTTTTTTCGAGAAAATCGTCGATATTTGAAGATCTAAACACTGTTAGCAGTGGTAGAAATGTTTCAGCTACAATGTGAATGACTTTTGTGTCTAATATTGATGGTGTAAAGAATAAATTGGAAACAAACAACAAGAGCGAGCATGCCTGCGCCTGAGCTATTTGCGTGCACTGATTGTCGCGATAGTGTTCGATAACACTCGAACCCATAAATTGATCGTCGATGATGAGGAAGTTACGAAACAAATACGGGAATACAAAGTTTTTGGAATGTTTAAAAGATACTATTTATAGATTTTTGTTACTGAAAACATTCTGGAAATACTTTTATCTAATCAAAGCGTGCGGCACGTATTCTAGGTAATAAATAATGTGTCTTCATAGTAAACTTTATTGTCCTTTTTTTAAATTAGAGGTGTAGTAATAAACTTGCAACTTAATGTGACGTCTTAGTGAACAGTCCAGTTAAGTGAGTTAATTAAAATGTGAATATTAAGGTGATGACGTGAAGTGACCATTTCGGCTGCGGAATATTAAATAGGTAGAGCAATAAACATGAGGCTCCTCACGCTTATCATGTCATGATATCATCTACATTTTAATCACTAAGTATCTTAAAACTCAAGGCAACCACTTTCTTCATTCCTCAAAATAAATGGAACCAGAAATAGCCCTTCAAACGAAGTATCATCTCGGTTCACTTTCTCCGCGATCTCTTAGAGTTGTTCGATTCCAAGGTGGAAACAATGTAAACATCATTTTTTATTATTATTATACCTACTTTTAAATAAAGCCAGCCAAAGACACCTTATTATGGCGGCTCATTGGGCCATTATTACCTAAATACTGATAAAACTGCATTCAGATCATTAACAAAAATCAATTAACAAAATATCCCGATAACAAATAAATGAGGCGTTGTTTGGCTTTTGACTGGTATTTTTAATAATACTTGTAATATCCTTCTATTAATAGGTATCCATTCGGTTCTAGCTATTATCCATTAGGTACTACCTAGATACTTAGAAGTCTCTTGTCTAAATTTAAAGATTAAATTCATTTCAACCCTCAATTGCAATGTTTGTTATATTTTCACAGTGCCTAATTACATAATTGTTTGTATTTCCTTGATAAAATAAATAATAGCATTTGAACTTAGGTATAGAGATATGTACGAGCGCGTGGGTTTGTCCGAGTTTATCGAAATAGGTAGTAGTAGGTACATACTTAGATATCATTACAATAAAATTAGTCACTATGGAGAGGGGTGTTGTAACCAATAAATACTGGTTGACTGGCAGATAATGTCATCTGGAATTAAGTCCGCCACTGTACAGTTTTATGGGCAAAAGTATTAATAAATAAATAAAAATACTTCCTTCTGATAATAAAGCAAAGATTCATAGTGACTAGCAATACTTAGTACCTATAATGCTAAACTAACTAGCTGACCTTACGAAATTCGTACCGCCTATGTTCATCAGAAATAATGTAGGAATGAAATGGTGAAATATTTTTTCAAATCGGTCCTGTACTTAGTTTCGGAGCTTATTCAATACAAACAAACAATCATAACTTTCCTCTTTGTAATATTAGAGTAGATAAATAATTCAGCAGCATCACCTGACATGATCTGTATGAATTTTGGATAAAAATTGTACTTCAGTCGATGTTCAATGAAGGTATGGTATGGTGCCCTATGAATACAGTGTGAGTCACGTTAAAGTGTACATATGAAGATAGATGAAACTAGACCTATTTTTATCGACAAAAAAGAGGTCAAATTTTTTTTGAGATTTTTTTAAAAAAATTTATAGAATTTTTTGTCTTCCAATTACTTATTGTAAAGAAAACGTAATAACTTTTAAACTAAGCGGTATATCCTGATAAAATAAAAACAGTAATATTGCTAAATAATAGGCAATACTAAAAAAATACATAAAATACACAAAAAAGGCCAACAAATAATAAAAAATGATACTTTTTGAAAAAAAATCTGCTTTTAAATTCGTGTTTCTTTGGTTATTTGATAAATTTCTCCAAAAAATGCCCCTATAATAGGTGGTTTTTATTACTTTGTATTATTCTCTATCGTATTACCTTTGTAAAACCAAAAATCGCATGTCTCTATCCCTATCACAACATTTGCTATGATCGTTTGAACAAAGGCCTGCCACAACATTATTCTCCGCTACAGGTAGAGACAATTTTAATTTTAACTAAAATACTTATTTTACTTCGAAATCTTTTGTTTTTATTTGAAATCTAACTTGTCTTTATCAAAATTACAAATCTAGAGCCATTTTCAGTTTCGTTGTTAACGAAGCGTTGAATGGCGCGCCCGGAGAGGCTTAGTTCGAACGATAATTGCAAACGTTGTGATAGGGATAGAGACAGGCGATTTTTGGTTTTACGAAGGTAATACGATAGAAAATAATACAAAGTAATAAAAACCACCGGTTATAGGGGCATTTTTTGGAGAAATTTATCAAATAACCAAAAAAAAAACGAATTTAAAAGCAGATTTTTTTCAAAAAGTATATTTTTTTATTATTTGTTGACCTTTTTTGTGTATTTTATGTATTTTTTTAGTATTGCCTGTTATTTAGCATTATTACTGTTTTTATTTTATCAGGATATACCGCTTAGTTTAAAAGTTATTACGTTTTCTTTACAATAAGTAATTTGAAGAAAAAAAATTCTATAAAAAATTAAAAAAAATCTCAAAAAAATTTTGACCTCTTTTTTGTCGATAAAAATAGGTCTAGTTTCATCTATTTTCATATGTACACTTTAACGTGACTCACACTGTATAATAATGTGGGATTTTGCAACAAAAACTCATAGCATGTGCTGTCGATTGTAGTAATGTTTTTGTTTTTAATCAAAAACTTCAAAGGTGTTAAATGATAATTAAATCAAAACAAGATAATATAGATATTTAGATGATAAAATATATTATCATTCAATACTTAAATTGATAAATTACAGTTCCTCAAGTTTTCACTTGTAAAACACATCAATTTTGTTTACTGGATTTTATGCGTCAGAGTGGTACTTAAGTACTGAGTATAAAACTTACAAGTCATGGTTATCACTCTTTGTGCAAATCGAGTCATCGAGTAACTTGTATAAAAATTATAAGTTTATTTGTTTTGTTAACTGATAGATGTTTATTAGTAGGACAATGCTTACTTTGCTCCTCTTGTGTTTTTTTCTTTTATAGATCTTTGGTTTATTTATTTATTTATCTTCGTCGGCCGTTTGGTGTAGTGGTTCGAAACGGACTACTATTCCGGAGGTTGCGGGTTCGATTCCCGCACAGTACAAACATTTGTTGGCATGAACATATTTGTTTGTATTGGACTGGGTGTTTTCTATGTATGCTAAGTATGTATTTACAAAAAAAAAGTATTTGAGTATGTTTATATCCGTTGTCTAGTACCCATAGTACAAGCTTTGCTTAGTTTGGGACTAGAAGCGCAGTGTAAAAATGTCCAAGGATATTCTTTTTGTAACTAATCCTTAGATACTGTTCGACTGCTTATACTTGAATTAAGTTCAAAGATTACGTTAGCATACTAGATGTGTATAATTTTAGACGCACAAGGGTTTTATTGACTAAATCATGTAGTTTTAATTCAATTACGTACACGTATGTTGGTAATTTTATTAAAATGAAGTTGTATTAGTAATCATGTACTGCATTACATTAAAATTAATTACACGACGGTCCTGAAAATCATGCAATTAATGGTAGAGCAGATTTTTTTTCCACGTTACGTCCCTGAAAAGGTCTGTTTATAAATATTTTGCACCGCTAATTTGAAAAAAAGTCAAGCTGTTAAATTCTACTTGGTTAATGCAGGAGTTTCAGTGGAGAGAATCATCATCGTCAGGTCATTTAGCCTAGGAGCAGACTACTGTTTTTTTTTAGTTGGCCGATAGTTGGACCCGATTTTTAGGGTTCCGTAGCCAAATGGCAAAAAACGGAACCCTATAGATTCGTCATGTCTGTCCGTCTGTCCGTCCGTATGTCACAGCCATTTTTTTCCGAAACTATAAGAGCTATACTGTTGAAACTTGGTAAGTAGATGTATTCTGTGAACCGCATTAAGATTTTGATGCAAAAATAAAAAAAATAATAATAAATATTGGGGGCTCCCCATACTTAGAAATGAAACTCAAAATTTTTTTTTATCAAATTCATACGTGTGGGGTGTCTATGGATAGGTCTTCAAAAATGATATCGAGGTTTCTAAAACACTTTTTTTCTAAACCGAATGGTTTGCGTGACAGACGCTTCCAAAGTGGAAAAAAGTTGGTCCCCCCCCCCCTCTANGGACACTAAAGAAAATGAAAAATCGAAAAAAAACATATGATGTACATTACTATAAAAACTACCAACGAAAATTGTTTTGAACCAGATCTAGTAAGTAGTTTTTTTTAATACCTCGTAAATCGTAAACCGCTTATTACCGCGTTATCTTTCATACTAATAACTTAAATAAAAAATAATAATTTTAATTTAATAAATCAATGGTACGGAACCCTCGGTGCGCGAGTCCGACTCGCACTTGGCCGGTTTTTTGTATGAAGAATCGGCCGATACCAAATCGGTGCAATGTGCGCACTGCGCACTTTCATACAATACAATCCATACTGATTAATAGCCCGATCCAACTATAGGCCGACAAAAAGTCTGTCTACACTGCGGGAGTACGACGCTCTAGTTTACCAGAGGGAATAGAGCAGTGGTTCTTAACCTTTAAGTCACGAGGGACCATTTTAACAAATTTCTGT